TTGACAAATATGTGGTTGTTGTAAGAATTTTCCAATATCTTTTAATAATGGAAGAAGTGTACAATGTTCACTACCTTTTAAAATTGCAGAAAATACTTTTAAATGACCTACAGATGGAGTATCTTCAAGGGTAGGAATTATCAAATGACAATAAATTTTTGGAGGTACAAAATATCCTATATATTCCGCTGCCCTTTCTATATTTTCTACAACTCTATTATCTTCATCATTACAACCTCTAATAAATAGTTATAAGATTAATTAAAAATTAATTTGATAATTTATATTTTAGTGGTTATACTTTTACCTATACATAGGAGGTAACAATTTTCCAATATGCTGAATTACGTCATCCTCTATGTTTAAAATAAATACACAAAGTAGTTGCGCAGATCGTATCCGTATGTCTACAATCCAATCTCCTAATTCAAAGCTAATTCCATTTATTAATTTACTGAAGCATTGTTGCGCTATTGTACGGCATCCTAAATTTGGTCTAGTAACTGAAAAAAATTTATAACAGTAATATAAATACATAACAGTAATATAAATTTATAACAGTATATAAGTAATTGCTGACATTGTTTATGTTAATTTATTAACTGAACATACGATTAGGATAATGATGATGATCTTCAGTAAGAAAATCCAGTTTATTTTTCAATTTCTCATCATTTTGATTTTCTTCTATATATAATTGCCCTACTGCATCCCAAAGATCAGCAGCTTTTTGTCTAATTTCTTCCAGTTCATCATGTAAACCTGTTAAAAGTAGTGGGAGAATTTTGTGCCACCAATTATATCGATCTTTTAAGTTTAAGAGCCAAAAACCTGCTATTTCTATTACAGCTATAAAAACATAAAATATTAGATAATTATTATTAGATAAACAATATTAGATTTAAATAAAAATAATAACCTTTTCTAACAAGACCACTTTGATCAAATAATCGTTCTGCCATAGGTGTAGTTACCTCTTCTATAGATTTACTATTTCCATGTTGAATTAAATCTCCAATCGTCTTAATAGAAGCAATTCTAATTTTGTAATGTTGGTGTTTAAAATTATTTAGAATCGGTTTTACAAAGTTTTGTGATTGTGTATAAAAATATCTTGATAAATTCTTTGCAAATTCGGATACACAATCACAGCTTTCTTTTTTAACAAGTGGATAATTATCTGCCAAAGTTTGTACCAAGATTTTTGTTAAATCAGTAATGTATAATGCCAACAAGTTGTCATATTTCAATATTATTATTTTTAACAATATAACACACTTTAGTCTAACTTCTTCTGAAGTTTCTATTTGTTCAGAAGAACCTAATCTTTTGGATAAAATTGGAAATAAATACATGACGTACTTATCATCTGGTGTTAAATTAACAATAAATAATTTCATAATCTCCAGTGCTCGATCACGACATTCTTCTACAAAATCATTTAAAATTCTCAACAGATATTTATTTAGAATATCCCACAATTTTAGAATTTGTTTTTCAGATTGCTCCAATTCTAACAATTTGAAAATTTCTTTCAAACCTTGTATTCGCCGTTTTTTTACTTCTGATTGTAACATAACGCAAATTCTAGTAAATTCATTATTTACAGTTCTCACAGACATTCTGAAAATACTTAAAATATTTTAAAAATTTTAAAGAATTTAGAAGCTGCAAATTTCTGAATTATAGTTGATCTATTGCCATAGCAACACTTTTATTGATCCATTTGTCTTAATTTACGAATTATATAATAACATATATACAAAGAATAATTATGTATGTACAAATTAAAGGAGAGAAAAAGAGTTGTTCTATTTTCTGTTAAATTTACATTATTATTTCATATGTTAATGTAATAATTTCCACATCTTCAAATGTAGTTATTATTTGTCAAGTACACAAAACAAATTTTAGGTCAAAATGTATAATCGAAAATTTTTGATGTATTTTATAAGTTTATGAATTACTAGTTGAACTATACATAAACTTAAATATAAGGGAATTGTCAAATAATTCAAATATATATATATCTATATTGAATAAGACTAGCATGATCAATTCTTCTTAAAATAAAATAATAGATAAAATTTAATAGATATGTCTTGCATATGGTCCTCAGATATGGAAACGCTCAGTGTGTTTAAATGTATTATTTCATGTGATTTTTAATCTTCTAAAGTAACATTTTTAAACAAATATGACATAGATTCTTTATTATGAATACGCCTAATAGCCTCTGCCAGCAAAATACTGATATCAACAGTCTTTATTTTTGGGCACTGCATCTTTTGAACGTCGTGAGGAACTGTGTTTGTAACAACAACCTAAAAATAATAATTATAGATTTAGACTATAAAAACTCTTATATATCTTACTTAAAAACTCTCACTCATAAATCTTAAGACTTATTAAGTTACCATATTTGTATTCAAGTTTGGAAAAAATGACATAATTATTGAAAGATGTGAATGAATTTTTCCTCGTTTAAAAATATATATCTCGAAGAAAGAATGCTGATCTAGAAATTTTACCAAAAAATAAAAAAATATTAATATCTTTTTTTTATAAAAAAATCCGTGTTCCTTTATTATTCCTTCCATTATTTTTGGCATCAATGAAATAAATTTTTTTTATACTTTTTACTTTGATGCTGTTTTATTTTCATTCTAAAATGAATTGATTATAAAACTGAGTTTTCAGCGTAAGATAAAATTTTTGTATCTATCAATTTATATCCTACAATTTTTCAATAGATAATTGGATGAAATATTGCTTTGAAGTTCTAAGCAATTTTCATATATTTTTGACATGTACTCATCATCTGATTATTGCCATTCATAAATTTGGTTCAATTAAACATTGTCCAAATTATTAGCGTTGTCGTGTAAAATGTTTAGTTTTTTTTTTATTTAAAATATCATTCGTTTGACTTAAATTGTCTTTATGTTTCATTTCCTTCAAAACAAATTTGTATTATTATTGGTTGTTCCCCATGTTGCAATATTGTCACTACACAATTAGAATTTAATTTATTATTAATATATGAACATATCGCTTATAATTACGTCCAATATTTTGAACTTTCACTCATCAATCCATAAGATATTTTCCCAATTTTGAATTATCTAATTTTCTTTTACCATTTATTTTACTTCTGTTTTTACTTTACTTTACTTTTGTTTTTTTCAATAAAAATATTTAACAGTCATATAGTCACTTTCAAAGATATAGTCATCTTCTGAAAGTTATCTTTTCATAATTGCATTGAAATCGACATTTTGAGGATGTACGTAATTAATTTTTGGCACCACTTCTGATGTAATTGCTCTTTGATTGCGCATTTAAACATTGTAAAAAACTGTTTTCAGCTAAAGTCGTTTCTCTTGAACTTGTTCCTTTGGACCTAATCATTTATTGTATTACAATTACTGGTTACTGCAAATTTTCGAATTGTATAACCCATGAAAAAACTTCAAAAACACTCACTTTTAATATTAATGCTAATAATGTTAATAATATTAATGCTAATAATGTTTAATTGACTTTTTGACTCTAAAATTACATTTTTTCAGTGTTAACTCTTTCCTATTTATCGACATTGTAATTGCATATTCATATTTGAATCTCAATCAACAATTGCAGAACTTCTAAGTAATTGTAACATTTATATAAACAGAAAAAGATTAGGAATTCAGAATATTTTTGTGTATTGACAAAAAAGATAAGAAGGTATTATTAGCCAAGTCTATTAGATGTTATAAAGTGATGCAAATAAATTTTTAAATATAATAGAGACAATAAAGTTATTAATCTTCATTTTTATATTGTTTCTACTAACTAAGATTGAACATACACAAAAGTATATGAAAATATATATCATAAAATTTATCATGATGTATATCATAAAATATTGGGATATTAGATGTCCTAAGATTTATGAGTGAGAGTATATGTATATACACATATGTATATAACCAATTTAAATGAAATCGATTAAATATCTCGAAAAATATAAAAAACTACAATAAAAAATTTAGACAAAAACTACAAAATATCAAAAAAACGTTCTAATATTTATTTAATTTTTTGTCAATATTATGTCATCAAATCTATATTTCTTATAACATATAATATTAAATGATATCAAAAAAATATATAGATAATGTTTTAATATTTTGATGTCAGCATTATACAATTTCATAGCAATATATATTTTCATTTGAAAATTTAATTACGATCTTCATAAGATCAAATCTTTTTAAAATTAAATAAATATGAGTAAAATTAATCGCTTTTGATATCTTTTAATTCTCATATATAACATTGTTTTTGCATCGTTCACTTTTTTTGAAATATTTAATCGCTTCTATTTGTATATTATGTATAACTTATGCAGTCTTCTAAATATCACATTACCTCATCAATTGGGGATTCTTCTATTAATCTTGGTGCATCAGAACTTAGAAGTCCATGTGTAGCTAAAACATAAATTTTATATGCTCCTCTTTCTTTAAGAACTTCTGCTGCAGCTACATAAGATTGAACATCATCTATCATGTCATCCTGAAATAAGAAAATTTTTAATAGAATTTTCTTTTTTTCTAATTTTCATATTTAAATCTACATACCACCATAATAGCTATACGTCCACCTACATCCCCCACAACATTAATTGGGGGCTTTTCTTTTGCAGGATGCATTGGCACACCAACACCAACTTCCATTGTACGTGAAGCCAACGCAGGTGGAGAATAACGTCCATCATTCATATCTGACTCTGCCTCTCGCTGTTCTCCATGAATAACTGCTATACCTAAACGTAATCTCTCTGCATAACTCGTTGCCTTCTTTGCACTACCAGGATTTCTTGCAACTATCACTGAATTATGATAGTCTGGTATCTGATTAAAAATAAAATTCAAAGATAAAACATAAAAATCTATGATAGCCATCTCGATAAAGGTATTTACGCACAGATTCTTGAATGTATTGCAATAAAAATGGACTGGCACGCAAATTATCCACTGGCACATCAAAAAATCCCTGTATCTCCTTTTGGTGCAAATCCATCGTAATTATATGCGTTAAACCACTTTTACAAAGCATCTTTGCTAACAGTTTAGAAACTATACAACCTCGTTTACGCATTTTGCATTGCTTAGAGTAAGGCAAATATGGAATGACACCGACAATATTCTTCGCAGAAGAAGTTTTACAAGCATACGCCATAATCAAAAGCTCCATTATGTTGTTGTTTACATCTTTCGTTCCCGTTTGAATTATGTAGAGATCTTTACTACGTACAGAATCTCCAATTTCAACCATAGTTTCACGATTTGATTTGTGATACACAGAACATCCTCCGTGTTTAACACCTAATCGACTGTTTTGAATCAAACAGTTACAATCAAACAAAGTGATCATAAACATATATATATGTAAACTTACTTAGCAATAAGATTAGCCAATTCTGGATGAGAATTACCCGCGATGAGTACAATATCTGAGGATACGGGCTTGTCCATATTACATAAATGCTTCTGAAAATTAAACGAATATAATTTGTATAATAAAAACTCGTTTCGTAAAAACTGTACGAAACAATATATTCTTATTCGAAATAAATAAAAATCAATCATTCATAAAAATCAATAAATCACAATGACATCTATGATATCAACTATGATTTAGCAATGACACGATATACTTAATGTAAATACCTTATAGTTCACAATACGATAATATAAAGTATTTATATTAAATCACGTATTACAAAGCGTTTCCAATATTAGTATGTTCCAAATTAAATTATTCTTCGTTTATTTATGTCATTACTTCGCTAATCCTATTGATTAAATGCTGTTAACTTAATTAGAATGCACGGGATCGAATCGAATTCTTTTTTATCGAAATAACTTTTTTTTCTTTATGCTTCGTTTACGTTAACCTTTGTAGATCTACTGTTTCTTGAACAGCTGCTCGATTTCAGAAGTACCAACTTATCGACAAACAATAAATAAAATCATATTACGAATTGCGATGAAGGGTACTAAATTTTTATTTTAATCCTCAAAATATTTGTTTTCTCAGAAAAGTATAATAGAGTGTTATTCTTTTTTAAAATCTTAACTTTTTTTTTTTAATTCGAACTATCGTTTACTTATATCAGAATCCTTTTGCATGCAATATGGTTTCAATAATGTTACGATGAAGTATTTAATTCATGTATTTCTGTAATTAGTTTGTATTGTCACGTAGAATACGTTGCAGTTATATAGTAGTAGTATTTTCTGATATTCCAAAGTTGCAGTGATAAAATTTAATTTATTTGAACAAGGCATTTTTATATCAGTAGTTACATTATAAATCATAATTTTTCATATTCATGAATACATGGAAATTAATCTTTTCTTGAATAATTATTTTTATCTGATATTGGTCAATTGTAAAGTGATAATGTAACATAATGTAATTAAAATAGATTATAACATTAAAATAACAATGACATTACATTGTATTTTTATTAATGTATTTCTAATACATTAATGTTACACATTAAACAAAGTGATACTAAAGTGATGCTGATTCTCCAGAAAAATTTAGAATATACTATAATTTCTGTACATATATATATTTACATACATATATATTTTCTTTTTTTTTTTTTTTAGATAAAATGATGCATACTACAAGAGCAGATACTTCTGAACGAAGATTTGAAATACAATGTAAATTAGAAGCAGAGATTGCTTCTTTAGAAGCGTTGAAAGAAGCAGAAGAGCGAAGTAGAAAATTAACAAACAACGTTGTAGGAATTTTATCTTCTTTAGAGCAACGTCTTGCTACATTACGTCGTACTATACTTCCCGTTTATAATGAAACAGGAAATCTTCAAGCACAACAACAAAGTATATCTTGATAGTTTGATATAAACTTTAACTTTAATATCAGATTCTTTTTAGCAAATGACAAATTATTTATACATTGGCCTATTTAGTTCATAATCTTTAGTCTGCTCAATTATTTAATATTAATTATATAAATCTACTTTAATTTAATTTATCATATGATGACAATTTCATTTATTTCTTCTTTACAGATATAGAAATGACATTAAATGCATTAGATCATGCTATTGGATACTATGGGGTCTGTCAAGAAGTAGAAGTTACAGTGCGAGCTGGTCCAGGAGGATCTGGAGGATTAGATAACTTTTTAGAAGCGATGAATCGTCTTTACAATGCTCAACGTTATTTTCAAAAAAATAATCCAAGCTCTGTAGAATTAGAGAATGTAACAAGTTTATTTGTCGTTGGTTTAGATGCTTTATACGCAGAATTTCATGATATTTTAACTAGACAAAGTAAACCAATCCTTCCAATCGTTCTGCTGGATTTAATTGGATCAGATGAAGATACTAGCGGAGAGGATGCTCCTCAATCTCTTTGTCAATTACCAGAAAGTATTTTAGGAGATTTACTTAAAATTGCAGCATGGTTGGAAGAGAGGGGACACCGTAAACATGTAAAAATTTATGCATCTGTACGTTCTGCTATTGTTTTAAGATCTTTACAGTTATTGAAAGAACATCAAAGAAGTGCTAGTGGTGGTAGTACACATGCAGGAAGTCCTTTGCCAGTAAGAAATTTATGATAATATATCTGTTCTTTTTTTATTATAAACATTTGCAATTTAATAATAATTATATTGTTTTATAGAAGACAAAATTTGGAAATAGACATTCACTAGGAATTCAAGAAATTAGTGGGAAAAGAGCTTCTAAAAGATTACAGCATGCTTTAGAAAAAAAAGCTAGTAGAATGTTGTTAAAAGCTTCTCAAACTACTGGTTTGGGATTGTCTTTAACTACATCTAGGAAGCCACCACCACAGTTATCTGGACATTCTGTAGAAGATACAGCACCAGATGAACAAGAAATGGAAAATTATTTGCTGTTAACAGTTGGTCTTCATAAACTTATGCAAGCAGAGCGATCACTAGTTGCTAAAATTTTACCAACTAGTTTGCAAGCACAAGTACTAGAAGCTACAGTACGTGAAGCTATGGATTTAGTAGCTCATGATGGAGAGAGTATAGCAACTCGTGCTAAGAGATGTATTGTAAGACGTGATTTTTCTGCAGTACTAGTTATCTTTCCAATTTTAAAACATCTTGGAGAATTAAAACCAGATTTGGAACGCACCGTTGAGGGTTGTGATTATGCCCTTAGATCAAAATTTACTTCTGTGCTTAATACTCTGAATATAACTGTATGTTATAACAATACGATTCGTAAATGCAAATTTTATTTTAAATTACATAGTATGTATTTTAACAATATAGGGAGCAAAAGCATTGGAAGATTTTGCAGAAAGTGTTAGAAATGAATCTAACTCAATTTTACCTAAAGATGGTACAGTTGCAGAAAGTACAAGCAATGTCTTAGTTTTTCTGGAACAATTAGCAGAATACGCGGATATAGCAGGAGCTGTACTAAGACGTAGTGCTGATATGGAAAGTGCAACATGTATAAAACAAACAGAAAATATGTATAGAATTGTTCTTGGCACTTACATTAGTTGGTATTACTTTTTTTTATGTTTAAATATGTTATAAGAACACTATAAAATTTGTCGATATTATCTTTTTATTTTTAGAAAAGGTACTAGCGCAACTGAATTTGGTACTGGTCAGTAAAAGTGATACTTCATATTCGGATGTTGCATTAAGAGCTTTGTTTCGCTTAAATAATCATAATCATGTTATAAATGCTTTACGTCGTAGTTCCTTAATGGAACTTTTATTATTAGCAGAACCTAGCGCAGAACAAACATATCATGATCTCTTGTTACGTGATAAGGCTAATTATGTTTCTACTACATTTGCGAAAGCACGCGCTTATCTAGAACAACCCTTTGATGAACCAGGTTTGTATTTTGAAAATTTCTAAAAATTTTATATTAAATAAAAAAATGTTTTTGTAATAATATTTATTTTGAATATAACATTGACTATTCGTAATAATGAATTATGTAAAATTAAAATACACGTAATTATTTAATATAGTTATGGCAGTTATAATGATATGTATCAATTATGTAATACGTAAGTAAAAAGATGTTGAGAACAAAGATTTACGATTTTTGTTATTTTACAGAACCAGGAGCAAAAACTTTAAAGGAGAAATTTTTAGGATTTACAAGAGAATTAGAAGAAGTTGCAAAGTGTCAACGTTCTTATTCTGTACCTGATGCTCGGTTACGAGAAGAATTACGAAAAGAACTTCAACAAGCTATTGTTCCGCTTTATACGAATTTTTATAACAAGTATCGAGGAATATCATTTTCCAAAAATCCAGCTAAATATATAAAATACACTCCGGAACAAATATCTATATTAATTGATACATTCTTTGACACAACGGCATAATGAATAAATAGAAAAATTTAATAAACACCCATTTAATAAAGCTTATTTAGTTACAGTATCTATGATATTTTTATGGACTGAATCCCCATTCCCCGGATAGATTGCACAGGTCAGTGGATCTGCGACGATTGAAATAGATCTCGGTCCAGCCCCACTTTATATATATTTATAATATATATATAAAAAACAAGTAACGTCCGATTTAGATTTAGCAGCTTATACATGTAAAATGATAATGATAGGAATACAGTTTGGACTTTTACCACTTATGTACAATTATTTGTTATAGAATAATTCCTTCTTCTGTCTTTCTCTCTTGGCTTTTGTATGCACTATTAAACATTCATTCATACGTACTATTTTTCTCTACCTCTGATATTTAATTTTATTTTTTTCTTTAACCATGTTGTGCGTATCAATTACAGTAAAATTGCAACAACATGAAAATACAATAGAGATAGAGAATTGAAATCACACTTGTATCGCTCATTTCTAAAACTTACATGATTATCTTATTCCATGGTATGTATATAGTAATATCAACCAATTTAGTTGAAGGCGAAAATCATTTCATGTTACTTGCAACTGTATATTTACAATAAAAAGTATAATTTGAAATTGATTTACAATTAATCAGTTTCATTCGAAATTATCAGCTGGAAAAATCAACTTTTCTCAAAATTAGAAACAACTTCTTAGTGCATAATGTTAATATTCAAATATATTTTTTACCTAATGTTGTCATATCAATCGTGTCATATGATATCGTAATATTATAACATCAATCTCTTTGTATACCAAAAATTTTAGAATGTGATTCTAAATCTAAAATATACAATACATTTACATAAAATGATTTACCTCTTTTGTTAAATTGATTAGTATCTAGTGTGCTCACAAACACACATACATAATAATGTTTAATTTCTTATAATTCGTATGTAATAACTAATATTAATAACACACTCTAATATACTGTACATTATCAGTTCAGTTTTCATTTGGCTTCCTTTCTCTCATCAAAACATTTAGCTAATGTGTACACTTAATGTGAACACTTAAATTGCATATATTTTCTCCTTTATCTTTTTTTATACGCATTATATAAATTTTTTGTGCGCTTTCATGGCAGATGCTTGTAGAGAGATGGACCGTACAACGGGGTTTTTTTTAATAGAAGTTAGATGTCCTGCTGCAATCAAGTCCGATCGGAGGAGGGGTAGTACATTTGCACATGCTCCACCGTCGTTGGACATTTAATATTATAGAAGGAAACATCTGCGTTTTGGTTTCACTTGAAGAACAGGACACAATACTGCACGAATTGCTTCATCAAATACTGTTTTCAATCCCTTTTGAGTAAGAGCTGAACATTCTAAATACTTTACAGCACCAATTTCTTTTGCCATGGACAAACCCTAAATGTAATTAATGGAATATTACATTAATAAATTGTTACAAATATAAAATAACAATAGGAGCATAGTTAATAAATACATGCCTGAGGATATGTAATAGGTGCTAGTTTTTTATCTTTTAATCGTTCAATCGTCTCTTTATCTTCACGTAAATCTAATTTAGTCCCTACTAAAATAATTGGAGTAGCTGGACAATGATGACGTACTTCTGGATACCATTTAGCACGAACATTTTCAAAACTGGCTGGGTTAACAAGAGAAAAGCAGATCAGAAAAACATCTGTCTGTGGATAAGACAAGGGTCTTAATCTGTCATAATCTTCTTGACCTGCTGTATCCCATAAACCAAGATTTATCGGTTTACCATCCACCATGACATTTGCAGAATAATTGTCAAACACAGTCGGAATATACTCCCCAGGAAAGGCGTTGGTAGTGTAGCTTATGAGGAGACATGTTTTACCTACTGCTCTGTAGAAATTAATCAATTAAAAATAATTAAATTCGATCATGCAGAAATTTCGATGGCAAAAAGGTTAATGAACATGAGTAAAAAATTTTTGTAATATCGAAGTAAAAATGATAAAATAACATCAATTCGAATGAAATTTTAATAAAAAAGGCACAAGAGAAAAAAAAACGGTAAAAAATAAAATTTCGTGGCGACAAATTTAGTTGGTAATTGATAATTTCAAGTTAAAATATCCCGATTTCCTTAATAATTTCCAACAATAAATAAAAAAAGAAAAAATATATGTATATACATTAAGAAGAATAACGGGTGTGGTACTAGCTTTTAAATAGTTCTTGATCAGGAAAAACCAATCGCCAAGGAATACTTTGATGATTCTTTAGACCAAGTAATACGGATCGAAAAACAGAGAAAGACAAACATATCGCGAAACATTACAGTGGGTTTTAAAATACTCACCCGTCTCCTACGACGACACATTTAATAGCTTGCATCCTGAAGGTTGGAACCGTTCACAAGTAGAAATATCTACGTAAATTCGCAGGAAGGAAGGCTAGTTCGATTCGACAGAACAGGAAAGATCAAGAGAGATGGACAAGGAGTGGAAACGTCGTGAAATAGAAAGAGAGGACATAAAGGAAATAGGCGCAAGAGAGATAAATAAGTAGTGTCAAAAGTAAAATAGAAAAAGATCATGAAATGGAAAGATGTGAATCAAAGGGAATGTAGAAATGATTGTAGGCGAAAAGTTGGAAATATTTGCGTGAAAATGTAGACGTTGGAATATATGATGTTATGATGTTCTTGGTATCCTTGTTTTGTTGTAGAAAACGCAGTTGGAGGTCTTTCGTTGAATGCAGCACTCCTGACCTCAATATGTGGCCCCAATAATGAACATAGACTTGGAGATTTTATTTATTCTACGAGAATCAAAACGCTGTTTCTATATTTCTAAGTAAAGAGATTCAAACAAATCCTTTACTTATTTACCATGTTCATGAATATTATTTTAAGAACACGTTCAATTTAAAATGACTCGTTTAAATCGAGGATTAGATGCGTATGAAATAATGGTTGAAATGACAACCAGTGCAGCGTAATACCAATGGTAATACATTTGGAGGGGGTTTTTACGCACTTAATAAAATTCACACGCATATAAACAACAAAACTACGGGAATTTCATACTGTGCATACAAAACTTGTACGCTATAAGTTGAAATACAATTTATAATTTGAATTACAATATATATATTAATAAATTTATATGAGAAATTTATTAATATATATTAATAAATTTCTTTTTTCATTGAAAGTAATATTTTATTGCAAAATTACTTACAAAATATTTTTATTCAATTTCGTAATTTTGCGATAAAAATCAATAATAATTATAGCAATAATATTAATATAAAAAAGGCAAGAAATTATAATTTCAATGAATATAAATGTATACTTGTAATAAAATAATATAAAATAATCATTAAAAAAGTTCACGTGTAACGTGTACATAATGAGCAAAGGATATACTGGAAAATGCAAATATACATGTGCATATATATTAGTTAAGATAAGTAATATATGCAATAAAAGAATGCATACACATTCAAATTTTCTTGTATAACTGATATTATTAGTGAAATTTTTCATCGTAAGTTAGTTTTATTAATAAATTCTTTCTTCTTTCCTTTTTTTAATAAAAAATAATTATAATTTTTTAAATTACTAATTATTGTACTTGATGTAAAATTCTACAAGAGAAATTTATAACTTATAATTTACAAATTGCTAATTCACTAATTGTTATTAATTAATAATTACACAAAATATTTACGTTTTATATTACGTTTTATATTAGTCAATAATAATTTTTTATAAATATAAATTTTATATAAATGTATAAAAATATGTTTTTTATAAGTTACTTTTAACAATATTATTATTGTTATTTAATATAATATATATTCCTATTTGTATACAAAATTACAAAGATCAGAAATACATATTTTTACTTGTGAATTCTGATTGTGATTGGTTTATTTATAAAATAAATATAATTTTATTTATAAATATAATAAAAATTATTGGGAATGTTATATAAAATAAATAATATTAATTTATAGTGAAAAATATATTTAATACAAGTTTGTAAAAGATAATAAAAATGCATAAAAAGGGACTTGACTGATCAAATTCTTTATATTTATAATTTGTCTGTATCCAAGTCTAGTTTGAAAATAATGAAACATAACAAAATAAGTTAAGAAATACGAATACTATTTCTTCCAATTATTGTTATTAATCCATTACTTTGCAATTCTCTTAAAGCATCTTCAAACATATCTCGGGTAACAAGCTAAAAAATATGACAAATTTTAAAAGTTCTCTGAGTATTTATATTACAATATTTATATTTATACATATGCTTCTACTAACCAATTCAGAGGATTGTTTTATTTCAGCAAAAATTTTTTGTTGATTAAGCATATGAACTTTATCCTTGCTTTCAATAAGTTTTTGAATTGCCTCGCATAATTCCTTTCTTCTTTTTCTAGCTCCTGCAGATATACCTGTAGTCAAAATAGTTACGTCTATTTTTCCGCTTAATGGATCAATTGCCGATTGTTTCAAAGCTTCTCTGTGCAACCTATCAATGAAAATTATATATTTAGATTTACTAAAGTTATGTCGATATTATTACATATTACTCATTATAACCTCCATGCTTCTTCAACATCTTGCAACTCCACAACAGAACTCAATCGTACTTTGGCATGAGCTTCGGATAAACGTATCAATGATTCTAATTGTCTAGGATAGGCTGTTATTTGTCCACGTCCTCTTCCAACTCTTCTCATATCAACATAAGCTTGTATCAATCTTTGCTGACTTTCTTCATTGAGGACAGGATGAACATGTTCTTTTGCAAACACTATATAATCGCGAACAATACTCCTATTTATTAGTTCATCTTCATCTTCTTCTATTGTTTTATAATATAAAGATACCATATGAGTAGCAAGTTTACTATCATATGTTTCGTCTTGTGGATCTAATATTAAAAAAATTAAATCAAATCGAGAAAGGAGTGTATGCGGTAATTTCACATTTTCAACCACCTAAAAATATTAAATATATTCATTTTGTAATATCATTAATTTCATATACTGATTAAATTTAATTTTAAATTATTCTGTTATTAGTAAATTAATTATTAAATTTTTTTTATTCAAAAGTAAAAAAAAAATACTAAAAATATTGAATACAATACAATGATATGTAGATATAATTTATAAATAATGTCGGAAGTCGAAACAGCAAATGATATACAAAATGCTTTTTGTTATTATCACATAAAATTCTTTTAACTCGGATATTTTATTATTCTTTCAGTTAAAATGAAGAAAAAATAGAATTTCTATTTTATGATTTCTAAATTTGCTTTAAAATCTATTAAAAACAAATAAATTAGATTTTATTATAGAAAATTCAAAGTTACTTTGAAAATTTCAGAAAAGATTAATAAAATGTTTATTATGGTAACCTCATTTATGTAACAAAAAAATATTTTGATAGATTTCCTAATAGAATAATTTAAGGTCTTTAAGTCAAATTGCTGAAATACATACAGTTTTATTCTTATTCCACTGAGATTCGCATGGATTAGCAGCTGCAAGTATACTAGTTCTAGCATTTAATTGACAAATAATTCCAGCTTTAGCAATACTCAAAGTTTGTTGTTCCATTACTTCATGTAATACCGATCTTGCGTTTTCATTCATTTTATCAAATTCATCAATACAACATATTCCATTATCTGCAAGTCCTAAAGCTCCTGTTTGCAATATCAATTGTCCAGTTTCTGGATCTTTTGTTACATAAGCTGTTAAACCAACCGCACTAGAACCTAAAATAAGTTGTCAACGTACAAAAGTAAAAAAATAATTTACTTCTGTTAAATTGTTTATTGTTATTTTACTTTACCTTTTCCACTTGTATATTGAGATCGTGGTACCAAATTGTAAATATATTGCAATAGTTGTGATTTGCTTGTACCAGGATCACCACAGAGTAATATATTAATATCAGGTCGAAAATGTTTGCCATATACAGTAGAAGTCTTCCTAGTCCCTCCAAACAATTGTAATATAATTCCCTTTTTTACATCATTATTTGCATATATACTAGGAGCAATATGTCTTGCTAATCGTTCGTAAATATCACCTTTTTGTGACAATGATTTTAACATTTCTATTCTTTCTGGTGTAAAGTTATGTTCTTTTCCATCTTCTTGATCATATAAACTACAAATGATTTAAAATAAACACTCGATAAAAATAAATTTGAATTTAGAATTATTATTGAATTTAGAATTTATTTATTTATTTTCTTACCGTTTAGAGTCATGTTTTCTAAAATGAACTACATCAATATAAGTTTTATAAATAGCTTGTAAATTATGATCAAAATTAGGTTTATGCGTTGCTGCTCTATAAATTCCAGTTACAGAAACCCTATCTCCAGGCATCACTGCATCTACTAAATTATTATGTGCAAATAAAACAATAGTATGTGGAGTCTGTCCTTGTGGCATCTCATCTGGAGCTTCTTGCAACTTAATCATTTGTTTATCAGAGAAATGACTCAAATTATGTACTAAAGTGAAAGAATATTTATGAGTACAATGTGCACACACTGTAGGTTCTTTTGTTTTCCCTTTTTCAATTTCTACAAGAGTCGTAAAAGCACAGACGCTACATTTGAAATAAGCCTCGCGCATTTGTGGAATTAACCGTGATACTCTAATTACCATTCCTGGTATTGTAATTAGTTGATCTACATCAGAAGGATTTAATTGCCTCATAGTTTTAATCTTAGCCACATTAAAAGGTCGCACTTGAATTTGATGCTCCAGAACTGCTGCTGGAAATTTTTCAAAGAATAATTCATTTGCTGCCATATCCAGCGTTGGAATTACTTCTTGAGGATATGAAACCAACTGTTGATAAAGAACTTCATCAAATGTTTTTACATGAGCACAATTGACATTTAAATATGGCTCTTCCAAGGTGTGTATCTCTTCTAATTTTTGAAGATATAAAGGTTCTGATAGATTCATATTTTCTGGCAATTCATCATTCTCTGCATTTGGATTAATAAATTGTTGAAAAAATAATTTGAATTGCTCTTTACACTGATTTATTACTACATTTGTTCCCCAAACAACTAGATGTGGACCTGCTGTATCACTTTCTGATGTACCAGTTGGTCCTTCTGGAATCTATTAGCATCATCATTATTAATATATCAAATATTTTATGACAGACAATATTAATCAAAGCGCAAGCTTTTTCTATTTATTTAAATAATTCTATTTTTTAGAGATATTTCTGAAGATATTTCTTCTTTAAAATATTAAAACTCATTGAAGATTTTTCATAACGATAAAATTTATCCGTAATAAATTTACAAAATAGGTTTGAAATAGTTTATAGTTAATTGTTCTAAATCACTTACTGGTTCTTGCAATGTAAACTGACGTAAACGTCTATCTGTATTAATATCAGGCCTATGCCTAGCCGGAGTGCCTCTAATTCCACTTCTTGGAGTACGAATTGATCCCAATGAACTTGGTGTACCATAATTAATCGGTGAAGACAACTGCAGACCACTTTCTGAACCGTTAATTGGTCCAGATTGATCTGTGAAGTGATCAGCAGAATCAACAGCACTCTCATGTTCCGAAGAAGCAACAATTGTTGCAGTTTGGTTGCCAGATTCTAAAATATTCTGCCGTGCACCAATGGTACCCCATCTTAATGGAGTTTCTACATTATTATCATCTCCACTACGGGCTGCATTACCTTGTACATAAAGTTTACAGAGATAATTAATAATTTATTAGATAAATAGATAATTTATTAAATTATAAAAGTATACACATACAATAATGTAATATTGTATATACAAAATATACAATGTGCAATATATAAATATCATACAAATACAATAGTAATATAGAGATGCAAATTTTCAATAGTCTTGAAAATATTTACTTACGGGGTGTACCAAACGCAGAAGGAGATCTAGTACCCTGGGTTTGTCTTCTAGGAGTCCTCCCAGGGCTATCTGTGCCTGACACTCTCGTAGGACTCGACATTATTCTTTGTATATTTTTGATATATTTTCCCGCGCTTGAAGCCTCTTATCATGAAAGATTGATAGATCAGAGTGGTGTGATCAAAGCTAAACTGTGGTATAGCCAATCAAAGAATCTAGTAACAAAAAATAAATCTCTATTAGATTACTGGAGATTAAGATTAATACCTATTTTAAAGCTAATCGAAGACGTTGAAACATAGCGAACAATATAGTAACTTATAACCAACGATTTAGTATAATCATAATTGTCTAAACTTAAAATTGGCAGATTCTACTAATCAAATAAAATTTGATCTAGTTCATAGGTTACTTATCTAGTTCATAACATACTCCCCAGTTCATAGGTTCACAAATCCTCTTTTTGATATTGTCGATTCTACATGAAATGGTATTTTATTCTCCTTATTTCTCTGAATATTTTATATAATTTTATAATATAAAATTATATAATTTTATTTAAAAAAAAACTAATAATTATAATTTTGCACGATAAGGTTGATCATTTCCCACATTGTGATTTCTCGCAGCGCGAAATATGAATTGTACTTTTGGTGAATATGAATCGCACAGCAATATAGTTGAAATAAACAAATTTATCGCTAGTTGTAAGATAAAATCTGAGAATTAAATAACAATACATCTGTGATCAGAATTATCTCTGTAGCCGGGTTGCCGGTTGCAATAAATTCGCATTTCGCCGCCGTGGTAATTTGCCACTATTGTAAGTTCACTCAATTTTCAATTTTTTTGCAGTTCACACAAGTAGTTTGCGTTAATTTGCTACTGCGTTTGTTACATTCGCTTTTATATCTAAAAAACATCACACCCAAGATATCGCAAGTCGCTCCCTATTGGTTCTAAATTGCTTCTGAAATCCGCAAAATAATAAATTTTGTCTATTATTCCGTTCGCAACAAAGCAGTATTTGTATAAAATGTAAAATTTGGATGCAAAATTGTCACTAAAAATTACATCTCGTGTGAATTGTTTCATATAAATATAAATTAATGTTTTTATGGTCACAGGATATCTAAAAATGATTTAAGCGGGATATCCAAAGTTAATTGAAAAAAATTCATCAATCGATGAAAAAATTCATTAGTCTCGCTAGCTTGTTATATATGCAATTAAACAAATGACTTTCTATATGCTTTCTATATCCTTTCTATATGCAATTAAATATTTTTTTTTTTTCAGAATTCTTTAAGAATGAAGGATGAATACTGGAGAAACGTGTTCCATATACAGCGAATCCCATTAATATTCGAAAATTTTCGGATATTAATCGTTATAATTTTGTAAAAAGAAAACATATAATAATAAATCTGAGTACATTTTGAAGCTCGAAGCTTTCTACTTTTATTCATTTTATTTTATAATCTTTTTGCATTATATAGTAAGACATTCTTCTTCTTTAAAATGCTATGAATTGTCATAGTATGTGAAAACGATGAAAAATTTTTTTCGCGATTGAATGAATTGACAAGTTTGAAGATTGAAACATCCTCTTCTTTAAAACAATCTCTCAAAACTTGCTTGCAATTTTCTTTCGTCAATTTATTAAATTTTAATGTGAAAATGAATATCAATCGCTAATTCAATAGCGAATTTTTAACCATGATAACTTCTAACTTAATAAGTTTAAGGGAAAAATGTGTTAATACATTTTTATAGAAACTTGAAAACTGCATCGAATATTTTCAAAATTACATTATTCATTAAAAAAAAAGGTATAATTTCATTTTTTAGCTACGTCAATACATAAAAATACATATATTTATTCCCAGATTATGCTTTGTCCGATCATTTAATTTTGTCTTATAAGATTTTTTCTATCGTTAACCGTTTGGAAGATGCAATTTGTTCCATTTGCGTGGGACACCTTGTATATTGGCACTTTAAACACCTCACACTAACAATAAATATTTTTGAAACTTTCAGACACATATTTTCATTATCTAGTAATAGTAGTATTCAAACAAGTAATAATATAACTATTTTTCTATGGAAAATAGAATATTTTTAAAAAAATATATACATAAATACATTTCCATTTTAAGACAAGTTGTAACTTTAAACGAGTTGTAAAATTTACTAGATTATTGTGGAACAATATTTAATATTAATACATACATTTATTAAATATTGTGATATTATCCACTAATAAAACTGAACAAGGACAATTTTTTACATTACAATTGAAAATAAAATCACCATACGAATTGTAATACTACGAAGAAATTGTGAAGAAAATTTATGGAAAACTTTTAGTTTTAATGCACAAGAAATCAAAGCTAAAACGAAAACTTTAAATCAAAAAAATGAAATTGTTGAACAAGCAATTTGAGCAAAGAGAATATCTTATCTACATGGAATTAGAAAATTATTTCTTTGAAATATGTAAACGAATTAAAAAAACACTGTCAATGACTAAACGCAATATAAATAATATAATTTTAGGAAGATTAGATATGCTATCAATTAGAGCTGTATTGTAAAACTTATAAAAACTTTTATGTGTTGATGTATTGATAATTAGAGTTAAAGATAAATAGAGAGATAAAAAAGAAATTGCGGAATATAAATTTAAATTTTCAATTTCAATTCTTCAAATTGAACATTAATAAATACAAATTATACATAATGCTTTCAATCTGATACGATGTAACATTATAATAATGTTTTCTTTTCTGTCTGTATAATACAGAGAAGAAAATTGTAAGGCAAGAAGTTAAAAAAAAAATCTTGAAAAACAATTTTGGGGAACTCAATAACAAATATATTACATCAAAAAAAGCGAATCGCATGATATAATTAATTAATCATTTATATAAAAAGAAAATTTTTCCATAGGACTATATAATTATATAATGAAATATCATAGAATATATATTTTTTTTCAAAATACAATATGTGTACAAAAAAGTTTCAACCTAAAGCACCAGTTATTAGTTTTATAAATCAGACATAGGAAACATTGAATTTTGTTTAATTTTGATTCTAAATTATTTATACTATAGAATGAATCATATAATGGAGTTATATAGGCTATCATTTCACAAATTACAAATTACATGTAAAAGTTATGATTCTATATAAATAACTTAAAATACAAGATAACATTTTTTTATGTGCATGTACTTGAAAGTATACTTGAAAATACACTCAGGAATAGAGATAGTTTATGTATATCATCATAAAAAAAACCTGTAATATCTTCCATTTACTTAGTCAACAGAAGCTTATCTCATACCAGCAGTTTACATGGCGCAATTGACTTTGAATAATTAATAATACTTCTAGTATATTTTAAAGTGTTACTTATAGTATATAAATTTGTAATAGACATTCATTTGAAGTGACTTATACAGTTTATGTATATCTACATATGTTATGTATAAATAGACAAGATTACTGAAATATTTGCTTTACTTGCTATTATATAAAAAAAACTTATCAGAACAAAGTCACATTATTCCACAAAGGGCAAATAGTATGTGACAAGATCATTTTTTTAAATGAGGTTTCATTAGTATATTTTTAAATGAGCTCTATATTTTTTATCTATCAATTAATACATTTTTTAAATTCTCTATATAAAATTTGATTAATTCCATTTAAAAACAGTCTTGAAATCCTTTAAAATAGAACTTTGAGAAAAAGTTTTTTATCTTTATATATACTTCTTAAAATAATGCAACTTTGTTTTTTCATAGAACAATAAATGATTTCATTCAGTTGAGGCATCCAATAAATAAAAAACACAAAACGCGTTATAATTTGTGAGAAATAATCTGTCATAATAGGAAATTTTGAATTCTAATTGTTTGCTTATTTTCGTTTTTGGCTTTCATACATGTAATAATATTTTTATATGGCGCATATGTTTATATATTATTGTTACAGTACTGCTATAATATTGTTATAGTAATGAGTTGAACATCATTTTAGATACATAAAAATTATAAAATTTTAGATGTGCATAATTTTTAAAATAGTAACCTTGCTTTAAAACTGCTATTTTTGGATTTTACATATCTAAAGCTGTCATATATACAATTTAAAAATCAGTTATAAATTTTATATATTTCAAGTTTATTCAAAAATTATATTCGTACAATATAAATTAAAACATATATATAATATTAGTCATTAATTATGAAAAATATTTATATATTTTTTATGGAATTCTATAATACAATAACTGAATAAATAAATAAATAAATAAATATATATATATATATATATTACTTTTATATATTTCTTTTATAAAAAAAAAATTTAATACAACAAAATGTATGTAATTTATATAACCACATGCCTATTAAACTTACGAAAAGTTATCTTATTAATCTTTAATCCTTTTATGCTATCTTTAAATTTTTTTTATTTACTATGTTCTCTATTGCAACTTATTTTCATTCTAATTGGTACAAATCACTGAATATTATAAACTTATGTTATTAAAGTTTAAATTTAAATAAAAAATAACCTTAATGTTCTGTAAAATATTTATATTTTAATTGTTTATTACAAATTACGCTTTATCTATACATTTATTTCATTATAATTTATATATACATTTATTTCATTATAATATTTTATATTCATGAAATAATTATAAACTAATATATTATAAACAGTAATAACACTTAGGAGCCATTCAATTCTTTTTGGATATCTTCTAAAGATTTCCCTTTTGTTTCAGGAACTAATATGTATACAAAGAAAGCTCCAATAACACAGATTACAGCAAATAACAAAAATGTAATACCATGACCAACTGCATTTGAAAGATCACTGAAGAATTTAGTTACAATAAAAGCTAATACCCAATTTAAAAAACCAGCACTACTTGCAGCTACACCTTTAATTTCTGCTGTGAAAAGTTCACCCATCATCATCCATGGAAGTGGACCAAAACCCATATTAAACATAATAATAAAAATACACAAAGATGTTAGAGGTAGCCATGTAATTGAATTTACATCAATGTTATTATCCAATAGATAAAAATAAATTCCAAGTGCACAAGTTGTTAAACCCAAACATATTATAGATGCTAATAGTAGTATTCTTCTGCCTACACGATCTACAGTTAATGTGCTTACAAAAACAGCTAATACTTGCATTACTCCTACTATAATAGTGAAGTAATGAGAATCTAAAGTACTACCAGACTTTATGAAAATGTAATTAGTATAAAATATAACAACATTAACACCACATAATTGTTGAAAAAACATAAGACCATAGGCTATTATAAAACCTTTCAAAGTTGCTCTAGATTGGATTAAAGTCCAAAAGGATACTGTATTTTCTTTTTTTTTCAATGCATCTTTTTGATTTTGTAACTCATTTTCGATATCGTATTCGACGCCGCGTAATCTAATTAAACTTTTTTTAGCTGCGTCTTCAAGACCTTTTTTTAAGTAATAGATTGGTGATTCTGGCATGAACATAAAAACTACAAAGAATACAATTGGTATAATAGCAGATACAATTGACAGTATACGCATATCAACATAAGTTCCTAAAAGATATGATAAAAGAATGCCTACAGTAAGAAGTAATTGAAAATAGGATCCAACAGTTCCACGAATTTCATTTTCAGCTATTTCTGCTGTATATATTGGTGCTACTACACAAAAAGCTCCACCACTGAGACCAGTGATGAATCTACCAAAATAAAACATGGCTAGATTATTGGCAAAAATTATAAGTAACCAGCCTAGGGTAAAAGGTATCACCATTAAAAGCATTGAAAATTTTCTTCCTATTATGTCAGCAACAATTCCAATAGGAATACACATTATTGCTGAACCCACTGTAACTAATGAGCTAATCCATGAAAATTCTTCTTTAGAAATTGTTATATCATATAAAGATTGTAAGTCTTTTCCATCTTCACCAGCAGAAGAACTCCATGCTAATGTCATTCCACTTGCTAAGGCGCCAAGTGTTGCTGCCAAACTAGCAATATATTGAGGTAATTTTTTAGCTGGTATACTTTGATGTTCAATACTGGAGACTAAGGTTTGTTGTGAAATACCATAATGTATTTCATTCATTTTTTCCAGATTATTTTTCTAAATATCTAAAAATAATTAATTTAATATTAATTATAAAACAATGTCAGAAATACAATTTTTTAATTTTTAATCAAATATGTTTTTAAAAAAATTGAATAATTATTTATTTTCTATATTCAAAAATATTTATAAGTATGTATTATTTCTACTGTAAAGATGAAAACAAATTTTTTGTGATATTACTTACGTATTGTATAAAAAAATAAAATTTTAAAAATTTAACAAGAACTGTTTTGTAAGAAGTGTTTTCTAAAAACACATTTATGTTCTTTAAGTCTGGTTATGTTTTAAAAAATATCTTAAAACTGTCTCATATCAGTGATATGATTAAATTAATCTCGATTAAATGACGTAACTTATTTATATATTTTATAAATATAAATTTCTTAGCATCTACACCTTCTTTATTTTTTTAAATCGTAAGATTTTCAGTCTTTTTAGTTTATATGAAATTCTTTACTTCTTTCATTCTATAATATAATTGTATATTTATTTTATTATTTACAATTTGGAGAAATCTTATGGAAATATATATGTTTTTGATAATGACTTAAATACTTTCTTATAGTTACTAGAACTTTGTACCGTTGTGTAAAGTATTTATTCAATGATAATATAATAATCGTGCATTTATCTTATCTTACATACTCACTTTAGTTCCTAAATTATTTGTAGAGTTAATAATACTTTTTTTATACCGTTCTTTAACATTGGAAAATCATGATCAGTTTTTTCCAACGTACATTTTAGATATTCTCTGCAATTATATTCTCTTTGCAAATTTTCTTCTATTATGTTTTCGTTTTTATAAATCATTTTATATATACCATTTTTAATATCATATAATTGTTTTACCTTCCTTTGTTTAAGAACTAAACTATGTAAATTCTAAAAATTGAGAAAGATTAAAAATCGATAAATTATGTTATCTAATGGAATACAATTGCAATACAGTAACATACATGATATTTAAGCAATTCTAATTGTTCAATTTCATTTTCCATAGTATTAATACATTCTTTTGAGTTTTGCAAAAATTCTTGGCATTTGACTAGTTTGTCTCGAATACTTATTATTTCACTTTTTAATTTCTCTATCATATCAGCAGTTTGTTTCGTAATCTGTAAATAATAAAATGTATAATATTCTAATTTTTAAAAAGTAATTATTTAAATGCTCACCTTTGAAAGTTGCTTAATTTTTGCTCTTTGATCAGACAAACGTTTATGCATTACAACCTTTTCATTATGCTTCACTTTTGAATTTCTTTTAAGTTTATCAAACATTTTGTCAACTATAATATTTCTTCTTGTAATACAAAGATTCATATCATGAATTAATTTTTCCTGAATCTTTTTTAAATAAGAAAGTCGCATTTCCATTCTATGAATTTCACTTTTCATTAAAGCTATATTTCCAGTATTCTGTTCTTCTTTTATATCTTTGATTGTATTTTGTATCAATTGGACCTTAATTACATAAATATTATAATAATAATTGTAAATTGTAAATTATAATAATAATTAATTACCTTTTTTTCCCATGCTAAACTTTCTTGTAATACAGAATTTAAATCCTCTTTCAGCATTAATTTCTCAGTGCATATATATTTTAAATTACTTTGTAATTTTATAAGTTCTAATTCCAATTCTTGAAAAGACAAAAGACATTCATTCTTCATTATACAATTTTTATTCTCCAATTCTATTTTTAGATCTTTTTGTACCATTAAATTTGAATTTATACGAGATAATTTTTGATCAAGAGAAACTATAATTTTATTTGTATTTGCTTCTTCTTTTGTAAGCACTTCTAATGCATGTTCCAATTTAAAATTTTTTTGTCCCATTATCATCACTTCTTTTTCAAGAAAATTTAATTGTTGTAATTGGGATTCTCTTTGTTGACTTAATGAAACCACAAAGCCTTGTTGGCGTAACCAAAATTGTTGTGTTTTTTTGATAGTTTGTTGAAGTTCCTGAATATTTTTTTCTAAACTTATAATTTTCAAATCCAATGGACTCAAATCTCCTCCATTGGTACTTGGTAGTATCTAAAACTATATACTTATAAATATATAACTTTTTTACTAAATTGTATTTAATTAAAAGAAAAGAATGAATAACCTGATCAATAAGTTTATTTATTCCTAAAAGCTTTGTTTGTCCTTTTTTCGTCATTGTTTCATATTTCTTTATCTTTCTTTGTAATTCGTCTATTTGTTTTTCTTTTCCAACATTTTTTTCTGAAAGTTCTTGTAATTCTATCTTTTTATTTTCAATAAGATTTTTAAGCTTTTCCAATTGTAAGAGATTATTTCCATATGTATTCTCTATATGTGCAACTGAAATTTCATTTTGTAATACAGTATTTTTTGTATTTATTAATAACTCATTTATATATTTAGTGGTTTTATTGCATATAACTTTTTCCTCCAACTTTTTAAATACTGTATCCTCTAGATTATTTTTTTTTTCAAAAATATTTTCAAATTTCTTATTCACTTGCTCTTCTTCGCATAAATAATTCTGATATTCCTAAAATTATACTAATTTAGAATAAACTCAATTAGCATTTTGTGTAAAAATTATATGTTTAACATACGTTGAATATAATATTATAATCATATTCTACTTGTTCATTGATTTTCGTAAAATTTTGCAATTCTAATTTATTATTTGCAATTTTTTCATTATGTAGTAATATTGCTCTTGATGTAATTTTAATATTGTTTTCTATTCGAAAAGATAAAGATGTTAAATGTTCATTACTTTCCATTTCTTTTTCTGTTTCTTTTTTTATTTTTTGTATTTCTAGTAATAATCCATTGTATAATTGATGTGCTTCTCTAAAAAAAAATAAATATTTCCATAAATGAAATGAAATAATACAACTTTGTATGTTTTTTTTTATAAAAATTAATAAATTAAAAAAAATATAAAGTTCTTGACAATTCTATGTTAATATATTTTGTCTTGAACATATAACAAGAGATAAGTAACTATTTTAATAATTATCAGCAACTATTTTACATTAATAATAAAAAATATATGCGAGAATACTAAAGTAAATTTCAAATTATATCTCTATAAATTATAGATTTTTTGTAATATTTACTTTTGTTCAAGATGTAATTGGTCATGAATAGAGTTTCTTTTACAAATATTAGTTACCACAGAATTCCATATATTATGCAAATCTTTATGTTCTGTGTGCAAGGTTTCTAAGTCTGTATTTGCATCGATTATCATTCTATTAGCATCTTCCTTTTCTTTATTTTTAATTTGTAATTGTTCATCAATGTACGCTATTTCTGATTCGATTTTCCATATTTCTTCTTTCAATCGATATAATATGAAATCTCTTTGCTGTTTTTTATTAATTAGTGTCTTATTTCTATTAACATCTTGCAGTGACATTTGTTTCGATATTATTAAATGATCATTCAAATCTTTCTCCCACTTGGATAAGTAAGAATGAAATGCCAATAAATTTTTTAATTTTTGAGACAACTTCTCTTTCTTGTCTTTCTTTTCTCTCAATTTTAAATAATTTTGTTTCAAAATTTCTTTAGCATTTTCTATATTACTATTCTTTTTTTCCCTCAGTAATGTAACTTTTGACAATGCCTCTATATACTGTTGCAGCATTATATGTTGATGTTGAACTTCTTCTTGTATTTGATAAAGACGTACAGCTTCTGATTCTAGCTCTTTTTCTGCATGTTTCACAGAAGAGTCCTAAAAATATATAATTATATAATATATAATATATAATTTACATCATAAGTGTATAGTTTGAAATGTTACAAAAATCATCATTGAACATAATAGCATAAAATGTAAAGTTTATTATTTATAGTTAATTACTTACAAGATTGAGTATCTCTTCTGAAAGTTTATTATCAACATGTAACAAATGCGAATGTAATGTTTCTTGAAATTTTTTCATCAACTTATCATTTGGATCAAGAATGTTTAATGTAGACATCATGGTTAAGTTCAATTTACTTCACTTATGAGTTATGAGTTTTTTGAAAACTGTTTTAAAAAAACTCTCTTTATATGTTTATTCAATGATGTAAACTTTAATACAAACTACATCCAAATTTTTTCACACTTTCTAACAGTTTTATTTAAATGTTTCATTCTTGTAGAATTGTTTCTAGATTTGTGACATTTACATTCAAATTAACGCGGTCACCATATAAACAGTCAAGAAATACTAAAATAATAGAAAGTAATCATTCTTCATTTTTTCATGATTAATATCTTTTCTTTTGTTATTGAATTATTTCAATAATAACTTGTATATTTTAATAATTATAATTACTATTTTATTAAAAAGTATTACATGTTAAATGTTATATTATAATAGATATATTATATAATAAAATTTGATTGATATTTTAGATTTTCTTTTTGTACGTTTTATATCTATGTTTTATATTTATATTAAAAGTGAAATTTTTTTTTTCAATTAAAAATAAATATACTTGTAATCATTTGTAACACTTTATTAAAATATTTTGTCTTTTAAACATATATCAAACTGTAAACTATCTTTCTTTATTTATTTTATAGAGAAATATTTAAATAATAATTGCATGCTATACAACTATATTATATATATTACATATATTACATTATATGTATGTATTATATATAAATATAAATAAAATTATTTAATTATGAAAATTAGTTAAACTTATTTGTCTTATATTATTACTATTATTTTATTTATAATCAAATTAGTAATAAAAATGTTTTTTTCTATATCATTATTATGTTTAATAGTTTTAACATAATCTCATTGATGTAAAATAGTATTATAAATTATATTCTCGAATATAAAATTGATTATATTTTTTATTTGAAAAAAATTTAAAACAGAACGATAATTTCAATTATAAGGACATTATCAAACATTGTAAAAAATTCGTATAATTAATAATTTAAATGTTATAATTATGATTATATTTTTACTGAAAGATGTAATAATTACTCTTTATCGAGATTCAATATGTGTGGCAGTACTAGAATCAAGTTGTTCATGTCATTTGTTGATATAATTATAAGATAAATTGTATTTGTAATTATAACATAAATTTTACATAAACACGTTAATTTACGTTTTACATTCAAAGTATGATATAAAGATATTCATTAGTTACAAAATTTTTTAATGTTTGGAGGTTATTTCTCAAAGTATAATTTGATATATTCCGAACCCCTCCAAATCTGAATTCTTTTTTAAGAAACAATTACATTTTGAAATAAAGTTAAATAATGTAAGAATAATGTGATTATCACAGATGATTAATTAACTTTTTGATATTTTGTATATGTACATTACACAGCATGTTATATTGCACATATTACACGAGACTAAGTTTTGTTTTAAATTTAAACTAAAATGAATGTTATGTATATACAAAAGGTCTGAGAGAGTTGGGTGTTACGTATACTTTTATTTATGAATATTATAGAAATTTATTAATTAATTTTTCTATAATCTCTTTCATTTTTTCTGAATAGATGAACGCTGCAATAAGTATTGTACGTATACTGAATGTATCCTGCAAACGATATTTAAGTTCTGTTAAATTGCCTCAAGAGATTGTTATACCAATGAATAAAGATATGATCATTTGTTGGCATCCTGAACGAGAGTTTCCTTATGAATATTCATTGCCATTACCAGAAGAAAAACAAGTCTCATCGAATTCTGTTTTATGTATTGGTAAAAAAGAGATTGCTGAGATTTTTAAGCAGAAGAAAAAAGAAGTCGTTATTGAAGAACTTTCTAAAATTACATACACTACAAAACATAGATGGTATCCCAAAAATTGGCGTCGCAGATTAAGAAAAGTAGAGTCAGAAAGACCATATCTGTAGTTATATGCTTAAATTAATTCAATAAAATATTAAAATTAAATTAAATTTTTATTTGCTTTCATTTCATTGCACTTAGATATAAATCCTAAATTTTAAAATGTAAATATATGTATATATATGTTTACAATCAATAGATACATATGATACATATACACGTATATGTTAGTCATTCTTGTATATATTTAGTCCGTCAGAAAGAATGAAATTTATATTCTATAAATTTTGAGGTAATATTTGTCTTTCTCCTTCACATAGAAAAATACGCATTGCTTGATATAACAAATATCTTCCAAAATTGCGTTTTTCTTCCATATTCCATATCTTCGCTATTCCATAATAATTTCCACTTTTGGAGTTTTTTAATTGTTGTATCCCTAAAGCATCAATTATAGCAGCTTCACGCGTGTAAGCCTCTACTGGAATACTGTTTTGGAAAACACGAAGACAAACAACTCCATATCCAGCATTCCAAATATGTAAAATATGTTGGATTTTTTCATTTTCAAAGCTTTTCTTCGAAACCCATGCATCAAAAGCATCTTTAAGATGCGAATATGGTCTGTTGCATGTACCTTTGCCCACATAAAATATAGCAGAAAGAAATATATTCCAGATTACGGATTCTGATAAATATTTTATACGAAAAGTTAAGTCTCTGGTTATACGTGGATCCAAGAATAAATAATTAAAACAAGTTCTACTCATTCCTTCTCTCCATTTTCTAGAAGGGCTTCCTAAGGAAAATTCTTCAAAAATATTTTTTTCAATGATTTTATATCTTTCCAAATCATTTACCCAATCGCCATATATCAGAAATGATTTCGTTTGAAATTCATAATAATTCAACTTCGAATCATGATTAATTTTAAAGGATGAATGAGAAAGATTATGTGATTCATTTTTTAACTTAATAAGACGTTTTAAATACACTTGTCTGGTTGTGTTAGTTATTGGTCCAGGATTGTCACCATAATGAATTAATTCTTTTCGTAGCGCATCGTTTGTTAGATGCATATCCATTGATAGATTTAATGATTTAGGCCCTGAATAAATTTATAAATTGTAATTTGAAAAGTTACATATTAAAGTATAAAGTAATTTTGATAAATAATACACATAATTTTGATAATCTTACACATTTTGTCAGATGAAATACAGTCTGTACTTTTGCTGCAAATAAATAAATAAATGAAATAAGAAATTAATATCACTTATATTTTAAATGATGAAATATCAATTGATGTATCGTCAATCAATGCGATAATTAATATGATAAGGAACTAATGTGATAAGGAAAATCAATACGATAAAGAATATCATATCTTACCATGGTGATAATGTGTAAATCCTACGTTCTAAAAAAGTTAAGCCTTCATCAGGATTTTCATATTTATATTCTTCTTGTACACTGATGTATGACTGTGATTTGAAACTATTGAAAACAATTAATTTATCAGACGTGAAATACTACATACGTTTATAATAAAATCCAAGAAAGATAAAAAATAAAATATACAGGATAATAAAATACGGTTTAGAAATTTTAGGCGTAAGAAATAATCAAATGAAGAAAAACGATTTTAATACACATGGATTTAAAAAGATAATACACACTGATTATTTTCAAAATTATGAACATTTTTTTATTTAAATTAAAGTTAATAACCGAAAGCTTTTTATTATCCTGCATAAAAATGGATATAATAATTTATAATAATTCTACCTTGAAAGAAAGGTATTTAAATTTTCTTTGAAAGTATTTACAGTATCATCAATTTTTACTTCTACTTCATCTGTAAACTTTTCTTGTTGTATATGTTCTTTTAATTGTTCTTTATTTTTTTCCTTAAAGTCTGTTTTTTGTATGTGTTGACTTCTAAAATTATTATTAAATTCTTCTATAACATTTTTTTCTAATGTACATGTTTCAGTATTACCTTTATTTTCATTAAAATGTATTGGTATATCGTCATCATCATATTTATTTTCATGTAATTTTATTGCCAGATCTTTATTAAATTTATAATTCAAATTCTTTGTGCAACTCTGTATTGGTGAGATAGAATTTGCAGCATCAGAACTTGTGTTTTCTGAAGATGTAAATTCATAATTTCTTCTAAGTTTTTTAAGAGATGAATATTGTTTGTAAAATCGTTTCTTCCTTCTTGGTGTAGATTTCGCTACGTCTTTCCTTGTATTAAATTCTTCTGATCGAAACAATTGATGTTTTGTCATGCAAGGTGTAAAAGTTTTAAATCTTAATTCCTTATTTAGTATTTTTGGAGATAAATATTTTTGTTCTTTCTCTATTGATTTGTTAACTAAAAAATTTGGCGATTTGCTTATAATGGAATCATTTGAATCATACTGAGATGTTGATGGAATTTTAATATTATTGTTTTGACTAAAAATTTGTTGTCGACGTTTAGAAGTAACAGTTCGTTTCTTTCCTTTCATTTTTAGTAAAAATTTATTTCTGATACTATATAATATATTGTCATCAGTACTTATTATAGATGAGGGATTTGTATCATCCAGAACATTTTTAGATTGTCCATATTCCTCATTAATTTTTTCTTCTTTGAAGTTAGATTTTAAAGAATTTGAGAGCTGGTTAATAATTTCATTAACTAAACATTTTTCTTTATCTATTTCTTCGCGAATTTGAAGCTTTGTTGCACTTGTCATTGTATTGTCAAATTTATCATTATTACTATAATCGAAATTATAAAAATTTACAAATTTTGTGTTAGCAAAACTTTTATCTTTATGTTCCTTAAATATATTTTTTTTAGTAACACTTGAAGTTTGCGGAACGATATATTCTGCTATTACATCTTCACTACTAACCAGGAGTTTATCTACAAAATATATTTATTTTGTACTCATTTATTTTTTGAATGCTTAATAATATATTAGAATTAATTTATTCCTTTTACATACCAAAAGTCATTTTATAGTTTGCTCTTTTTTCCTTCACAGTGTTATCACAATATTTTCCAAGTATCTCAATTGCTTTATAATACTTTCCATCAAATGCATAATGAAATGGACTGCGACCATCATCGTCCAAACAAAGTGGGTCACCACCGTTTGTCAAAAGTAATTCAAGAACTTTAACTCTACCCCATGCTGCTGCCACATGAACTGGAGTTAATCCATCAACTGACCTATAAAATGAATTGGAATCGCAATATTTTAATTTCATGTCTTATATGAAATTTCTCAATTATCTTTTGAAATGTAAAATTAATTGTCTCTTAATTATCTTAATTACTTTAATCTTATTTTAATTAATTACCTGACATTTGGATTACCGCCATGACGTAAAAATAATTTAGTGACTTCCTCAGTAAAAGCTTCAGAGTCATTACCTATTACTAAATGGAACGGAGTCACTCCATATGTAGGAATTAATGTGTTAGGATTTGCGTCATTGTTCAAAAGCAATGTGGTTACTTGGCTATTAAAAGATTAATGATAATTTTGTAAGTTTAAAAAATATTTGTATACTAATAACAGATAATTTAAAAAAATGTTGGTTGAACATTAAATGATAACATTCAAATGTAAGCAAGCTCTTACTTTATATTGTTATCTTCTAGACCATCACAAAGAGAAGAAGCCAAAAAAAGACATCCTTTTTCTTTCAGAATTGACATTTTATTCAAATTGAAATTGGCTATTTTACCACTATCTTAATTATCTTAATTATCAAGAATTTTTGGACCTGTTGAATAAAAGAATAACACATTTGTTTATCTTGCAAATAAAAATTATCAACATATTACATAAACAAGATTTTAAAATTTAAATATTTATTTATTGAATAATTAAGAGGAGTACTTAATAACAAATATTTCAGAAGTTAATGCTGCATAAATTATGTTACATAATTGATATTAATAAATAATTGCTAATACTAAAATTTAATATTTATTTAATGTTTATTTTTGATACTAATTAACTTTGTTATTGAATTGAAATTTTGTTATGAAATTAAAATGAACACAATATATTTGACATATAAAACAATAAAAAAAGCTTGCAAACGCACTGCTAAGTATTTTTTGTAATAAATAACAAAATCATCATTTTTGATAACTGTAAACAAATAACATTATTACTGTAACTAAATTTTTAAACGCGCATTAAGTAATTGAAAACTAAAATAAAACATAAAACAATTAGTTATTTCACTGAAAAGTTGTGTCCTCTACATTAATTTTTACTACAAATGTTTTTATATTATATATTTTATTATAAAAATATGAAATCAAACATTCAAGCAGATCATCTTCTTTATCCACTGTGAAGTTGCATGCAAGTATTTCTATTGACTGCATCTGTTTAAATTTTGTTTATCATTAGTTTTACTTACGATAACCTAATTAATAACAATCTCTCAATACTTTTTAGTAAATATTATAATACTTGACTAAAACAATATTTACAATTTCCTATTAACGTTTGTTAACATTTTGTAGTGTTGCATTATATATATATATATATATATAATATACTTGTGATCAAAGAAGCACAGATACAGGTTAGGTGTACATTTTATCATGAAATATATATATATATATATATATATATATGCACTATATTAAAGCATCAGAAAATAATTATTCACGATTGTTTTATGATGTCGATATTTTACTGAACTAATAATATTTAATTGCAGCTATCATGTTACCGCCCACTGCAACAATAATTAAAGTTACAAATGTTTTAACTCCATACATCATAAGGATTTACGAAGTAAAACAGTATAATGAGAGATTAAATTCTATTAATAAGAAATTATTAAAAGAAGAGAAAATGCTTAAAAGTGTTGAAGAATGTATAGAACCAAAAATAGGAGATGTAAGCTTAGCATGTGACATAAGTATTATAATACTGCTAATAGTAATATAATACTACTAGCAGTAATTGATATAATTCTTATACAAATTGTAATTTTTAAACTTAAATGGCCAAACTGCGAGGGTATAAAAACGAGAAATTGTTCCACAAAGTTTGTCAGGAAATGTTTTACAGAGTTATAAACAGTAATTATATGTATGAAATAGATAACATTCTTTATTAGTAAATAATTTGTGGTATTTTGATGTAAGATGCTACTTTTGGCTAATAGTTTGGCACTAATTGTTAGTAAGAGTAATATATAAAATATATATAATAAAATAATATATACAATAAAATATAGCTAAACATATTAAAAAATGTATTTACACAGATCAAATAAACACAGTCGACCTTCTGTGTGCTCTATTGTTAAATGCGTAGTTAATTCGTACATATTTGTTATAATTTTATATATATTTGTTATATAATTCATTATATGTGTTTATTTCAGTTGTTATTACAAATATTATACTCCTGGCGAGCTTTGTATATTTTTTTTCCTTTTTATGTGTAGATTAAGCTCTTACAGTTTAGCCTCTTAAATTTAGGATAACTCTTTATAAAGTTAGCTTATATTATTTTACTCATAATTATTAAAAAAAAAATTAATTTCAAATTCGTATTTTTTTTAGACAGTCATAGTACGTAATAAACTAGATATGATAACTGATTGTCCCGGTTGGTTATGCAGAGGATATATTAACAATAAAATTCAAAAGAATGCGTATAATATTTTTTTACCTGATTATGGAATTTCTGTGATACTACAAAAAGAAGATTTTATTACGTGTTCGTCCGATGTGATTTCGGAAGAATATTTAAGCTTCACAGTTGGTTTATATAATGTTTTACCTGTGAATGTAAAACATAATTCATCTGTGTACAATGAAACTCTAACGTATGGTTTAAAAATTTAATAATTGATGTATTAAAAAATTAAAAAATTAAATATAGTTTTTTTTACATGTGCCTAAAGAATTTTAAAGGATTGGAGTACATCTGCAGTTGAATATATGAAAGAATTAATAAGCGCGTCTGATGTAATCTATTTTGATTATTTAGCGTCTGATCAGTATAAAAAATACTATGGTGAATTTTATCTCAGTATAAAGAACAATGTGATACGTTTAAGTGAAGCTTTAGTTCTAAATTATCATGCTATTTATTTAAATGATGGTAATTTAATGATTTAATTTTAATTTACGTCATTAATATTTAGTTTTATAAAAAAATTGTTATGCAGGAAAATGTTATATACGGAATGTTTTCTGTTTAATTTTTGATATAGAATTGTTGCAGTTTATAGAAAATCCTATGAATAATGAAAAGCTAGATAAGGAAGTAATCAATGATGAAACTGTATTTTATTTAAATGTTTCAAAAGTGTTGGATAGTACTAATAAAGGGAAAGAACAAGAAGAAAGGTTTGATAAAAAAAATTAATTTATTAATTTTTTTTTTTTTTAACATTTTTATCAAATTTCTTTCCTAATAGTCTTGCAAGAAAAATAGAATTCAAAAAAGATAATCATTTACATCATGAAGTTGAAAGAGCTAAGGAAAAAGTATTAATTTATGGAATAGATAAATACGAATGCTTAAATTCTACTTTAGATGCACAATTTCCTGCAGAAATACACAAGGTATAATCGTTTAATAAAAATTGAGATAGACAACAATTAATTTACTTCTTACAATTTCAGGCTTGGAAATCATTAATACATTCATCTGAACCAAGAAAAATACAGTCATATATATGGCCTGCTATAAAGAAAGGTTTAGGTGTAATAGCAGTCGGAACACCAAAATGTGGTAAAACTGTTGGATATGTATTTGCTCTTTGTGGACTTTTGGCTACAAATTCAAATGTAATATTTTATTTAAAATAATTATTTGTTTATATTGGAGCAAATATTACAAAATATATTATTTTCTCTTTTACATATACAATAAAAAATTTTTCTTATTAAATATAATATAAATAATATAGTTAATTTTCTAATTTATGAAATAGATAACTAACAAGTTTATAATTCACATATTATTATTTATTATATATTAACTTGAAAATATATACTACATCTTAAAAGATATAAATTTTGAAACAGCTTCCTCAGGGAATAAATCCATCTGCACTAGTATTATGTTCTTCCTCACTTGAAGTACTAGAAGTCAATTTCTTATGTACAGAATTTTTACAAAATTATAATATGATAAAATCTGTTGCTGCAATTAATGGAAAACCAGAAAGATCATTAGTGGTAAGTAAATTTTTTAGATTAAATTTGTAAAGAGATAAATGAAAATATATATTTTAATTGAATAAAAAATAATTTATTAAACTTTTAGGCTGAAATGTTTAATGGATGTCAGATACTAATTTCTACACCAAGATTTTTAACACGTTTTATGAATAAAAATAAAAAATTGATGAATTTTAAAAATCTTCGTTATTTAATCTTGGATGGTGGTGATATTATCTTGGATAAATATTTTGATTCTGTAGATTTCTTTTATTTATAATCTTTTGTTCCTATATTCACATAAATATTAAATTAAAACTTTTTTTAGGTGAGCCAATTATTTAAACGACATGATGTTATTTGTAATAGAGAATCAAAAAATAAGACGTTGCAAATTATAATAACTGCAACACATTGGACATCGCATTTAAAAAGAATTGCTTCTATCTTAATAGAAAATCCATACATATGTATAGCATCTTTTATTGAAGCTGCAATATTTAAATCTGTACATCTACAGCTACATGTAATAAATTCAAAAGAAAAACGTAAAAAACTCCTAGGTAAAATTTAATTATTTAAAAAAATAATTGTAGTAATATTGAATAATTTAATATTGTTTTACGATAGATTTATTAGGTAACGAATATTCCACTTTGCGAACTATAGTAATTTGTACAAATAATGATGAAGCTAAAGAATTATCCGACTTCTTAGAAAAATATAAAAAAACTTTTTTAATTCATGGGGATATGAATTTCGTTTACTTGCAACGTAAGAAAATATTTAAAGACTTCAACATTTTTAATTTATGATGATGTTATTGTATTTATGTATTTAATGTTTTTTGTCCGAAGGTATTAAACAATATTGGAATATTTGTACAAATGGTTCTTATCCAATTTTAGTATGTACAGATAATGTATTATCAGATATAGGTGTTACAAACATAACTTGGTTGATACATTATTCAATTCCTTTGCATTCAAAGACTCTATTTAATTTTCGGTTTTCAACACTTTTAGAAAATTTAGAAATGGTATGTTGTTTTCCACAAAAAGATTTGTTTGTAATTTGATGAACAATTTTATCTATTGAATGTTTTAGAAAAATAACAATTGCAAAGTGACTATAATAATGGATGAAAATAATGATATACAGTTTTTACATATAATTAAAATAATGCAGCGTATGAACGTTGATGTTCCCGAAAATGTATTAGAAAATGTTAAGGTATGTACCAAAACCATAATCACTGTTTTCTTATATGTAAATTAATGTATAATAAAATTTTACTTTAAAAATTTATTAAGTTCGTAACAGCTGCTTTAGAAAAAAAAAAAAAAAATTATCCTATTTGTGATAATATAAAGTCTTGGGGATTTTGTAACAAGCAAATTTCTTGTGCGTTTAGACATAAGATAATTTTAGAAGTTGATACACCACTTACAAGCATTCGAATGTAAGTAAAAATTTAAGAATTAATAAAAAAAAATTGCATTAACAATTTTTGGGTATTATTTTAGAAATGACAAGGTAAAATTCAGAGTAGTAAGCATACACGATGTTGCACATGTTTCTGCTAGAATTATATCGTACATTAAGTTTGATACATTGGAAGAAATTGAATTTTCTAATATTGAGTACCTGCGAAATAACACAAAAATTCAAGGATTCTATCGTTGCGCAGAAAACAGGTTAATGTAATTTAACATTAATAAAACATTTTTATATATAGGGCATTTTTATATATACTTTCGTTTATTTACTGTATGTTGAGAAATGTAATTGAATATAATTATCTATTTGCTACTTATATATTTTTAACGTAAAATTAAATCATTTATCATTTACAAAATATATCTCAAATGAAATGTTTTTCATTGTGTTGATAACTAAAGTCACATCCTGTAAAGATCGCTCACTTTATGTAAAAAGACAATCTCTATTTGTATTTATTATTGTAGGAAGAGATGCGAAATGCTAGATGTAGGATATATATGTGGTTTAGAAGAGCCAGTAGATACCTTTAAAAGAGTACAAATTTTACATATTGAGAGAGAAAATAAAACAGGGAATCCAAAATACGTAAATGTAAAATGTATTGACAATGGAATAATTTTGAACAAAGTAGAAGTAAGTATTCATATAGCATAACAGTACAAAATATGTAATATATTAATATAATTTTCTATATTAGGTATATAGATTGTTATATATGCCAGAAGAGCTTATAAAATATCCTATTCAAGTGATGGAAGTATTTTTAACTGGTATAGCTCCACATGATAATGAATATGTTTGGAATAATTGTGCAATTAATGCTGTGCATCAGTGGTTTAAAGAAAATGTTGATGACAAATCTTATGTAATTGGAACGGTACAATATATTATTATTGTTAATTTATTTGTTATTGAATATTTTTATCGATTTTCATAATGTTTATAGAAAAGATATAATATAAACTTAAATTTAAATAGGTAAATTTACATTTGGGAAATACAATGTGGGTAAATACCTTGAATGTTGGAACAAAATTAATTGGATATAAAGATTTAATTGGTTCAAATCTAAGAACAGAATTATTGCTGAAAGATCATGTTATTGAGAATAATGAACATTTAAATCAAATGTATCAACTTTGTAGAGATGCTGGTTTTCTGAAGGTGAATGAATATGATTTAAACTTTTAAATGAAATTTTGAAAATAATTAATAAAATTTTTGTATCATTCTTTTTTTTAATATATTAAATATCGAAAAAGAAATAACAAATGTTTTAAATATTTATTACACATGTATACATAATCTACATATAAGCACGCGTATATATCATCGATCGATTATTACAATATTTAGTAAGACATTTAAGAATTTCGTTAAATTAATTTACTATTTAAAAATAAAATAAGAAAAAGCAATTTATATGGAGATCTTTCCGAATATATTGTCTAATTATTAACGAAATTTTTGGAGCATTTATCAATACGACTATAATTGCTTTAGAGAACTAAAACAAGAAATTGTCTATAGGAATAAACAATTATCTATCTATCTGTTTATCTATCTAGCAATTATAATTGTACATGATTTAATCAATTTTGTAAGCTAGCAAAGTTTTATTAATAAGTAATGTATCTTAAAAATTCAGTTATTCAGTATAAAATGTTTGTATGAACCATAATTATTTTTAAAATTTATACAATAGTCAGGTACTCAGAAGCAAGTTGCATTGGATCCACGTGATAAGAAGTAACTAAACGAACTTTCTGACCATCTTGTGTAGTGAATTCTATTGCTTGTTCGTTTTCGGCAATTTCTGATTGTTCTGATCCTTCTATTTGATTAATTGTTGCAACAGCATTTGCATCTGTATCTTCATCCTATTACATAATTGTAATTGTATATAACAATAAAATTTTTGGACAAATATATAATAAAGCACATTAATTTTGTATTATATTTGTATATGCATACAAAATGTTAGAATTTGTAAATAGAATGATTTTGTAGAATTTGTAAATAGAATGTCTTCTTCTATTCCTATATAAGCTTCCTTAAGGCTAGATTTAATGGCATTATTCTATTTATAAATTCTAATATTTTCATGGCATTATTTCTGCAATTATCCAAATAAGTGACTTTCAATAATTATAAATCGTTTTTATTGCTATGATCGGTACACCTTTTGAAATAAATTTGAAATAAGAAACATTAAATACAAGTAAAATGTGGAAAAAACTTATTTATGCTAACAATCATAACCAAATTTGAAATCTTATAGTTAAATACGATGACGATATGGCATAACAGTGAAACAAAAATCGCAATTAAGCAAACACTGCTTGTACATAGCGTTTATAAAAATTAATGAGAATTTGAAAAATGTGCAATAAATAATATTTTTTTAAAACAAATAATTTCTTATTCTGGCAATATAAATTTTTATGTAATTAATAATAATTCCACAGTAAACATTTTAAATATTCATTAAAATATTATACGTAAAAAATAAATTTACATAAATGAGTCATTTTTATTAATTTAAAAAATAATATGTTTAATATGTTTAATATGTTACTTATTTATTGTATATATATGTATGTACAGGGTGTATAAAAATAATTACTATTCACTTTCTATTTGAATGCAAAATTATATAAAGACGGAACTTAAACTGAGATTTATAATTCCTTTAATAAGTTTGGTTTTTATGATGAGTAGTACACAATATCAACAAAAATATTTAATCTTTAACTTCAAGATTAATTTTGCATCTGTTTTTTTTAACATTCACCGATACAAGGATGTAAAATCGTGTCACGATAGTTATGACATAATTTTTATACACCTTTTATGTATATGCATACATGGATTGAAACTATTTCTGTAGAATATCAAAAAATTGCAATCTTTAAAATACTAGTCCAATTAAGATTGTAAAAAATTTTATTTTAAAATATTACCTGTAGTGCTTTCACAATTGCTTCTGCATCTGTTTGTACAGTTGAAATATTTTTCACTTTTGTTTCTACCGCATTGGAAATGTCAACATTCTTGTCAGAATTTTGATTAACGTGTACATTTAATGGTGTTGTTAATTCATCTGGTATGACACCAGGGTGAACTCGGATTTCTTGACCATCACTTAATTGATTAACAAATTGACTTTGAGATAAAAGCTGTCGGGCATCTTGAATTGAAAGAGGAATTGGATTACCTTCTTCATCTGTAATCTGTAAATATAACTACTGTTTTATATTTTTGTTTTAATATTGAAAGAATATTTTAAAAATCTCATTCTTTTTTACCTGAAGTTGAAGATCAGATTCTGAAAGTTCCACATTTATTCGTTCGTTTGAGCTATTATTTTCATTAGCATGAACTGGATTAGAAAGCATTCCATCATTGCTAACGTTTAAATGTGATAATGATTGGCTTACATTTGGTTTCTCCTCCTTATTTCTCATCATTCCAGTATCAACTTTCGATATAAAATATAAATTAGTTTGATTAGAGATAGATATAAATTAATTGAATTGAAGAATAATATAATTTTCATTTTTAATACCGAAATGCAAAGTTCGAGATTGATTAGGATCATCTGGATCTTGATATGAAACATATATTATTTGTTGAATACCATCTCCAGATGTCTCATCCGCAATAACTTGTGCCATTTGGTCAGTTAATGAATGCTCATCAGATTCTTGAGAACTTGGTAAAATTTGCCAAACTTCTCCGATAGGAGATCCTTCTATTTCACTTATTGCAGAAAGTTTATTTTCTCTATGTACCTACAAGCAACTCGATAATAACTCCATACTTTTGAATATATCACTATTAAATTTAATAATAAAATTTGAATTCTTACCTTTTTATGTTTTGTTAAGTTTGAACAATCAGCAAATGCTTTCCCACAGATATCACAGGAATAAGGTTTTTCACCTAACAAATAAAAATACATAAAAATAAATTTTTAGAATATAACGATTCTTAAAGACATATATTAATATTGAAATTGTTGACAAAAATAAAAGATTTGTGAGAAAATGAAATAAAAATGTTACCGGTGTGCAAACGAAGATGCTTTTTTAAAGCCCATTGTTCAGTAAAACCTCGATTACAATGAGCACATTGAAAAGGACGTTCTCCTTTGTGTCTGCGTACGTGACATTTCCACGTATCTTTATGCAAAAAGCATTTTGCACAAAATTCACATTTCCAAGGACGTTCGCCAGTGTGTCGTTTAACATGAAGTTTAAATTGCGAAGAAGTAGTAAACTTTCTACCACAATAATCGCAGCAATAAGGTTTTTCTCCTGTATGTATTCGCATATGTTCTTGTAAATTTCCATTTTGTGAAAAACTTTTATGACATACCTCACATGTATAAGGTTTGTGTCCTGTATGCCACCTAAGAAATTATTCGTTTATTTATTTATTATTAAAATCAACTTATAATTGAATTTTTTATTTTTATAGTAACCTATAATGGAGTGTAAGACTAGTTTTATGTGCAAATTGTTGTCCACAAATTTCGCAAAAATATTTCTTTTCCCCGGTATGTGTAGACTGATGATTAATTAAATTTGCTTTTGTTTTAAAACTGGCATTACAAGATTTACAAATATATGGCCGATCATCAGAATGAACAAGTTGATGACGTTGTAACAGTTGTTTATGTTTAAAACTTTTCCCGCATTTGTTGCAAACAAATCGGCGTCCATTATTGTGTTCTGCTTCTTTGTGATACACCACAGAACTAGGATGATTAAGCACTTTTCCACAAATATCACATGGATACTCTTTCTCTAATTTATTTCTCTAAAAAATAATAACAAAATTAATTGTTATATTTTGTAATTTTAGAAATACTTATTCATATTTATTTCTTTACCTCGTGTATTGACAAATGATGTTTCAAAGCCGCTTGTTGAGTGAAATTTTTATTACAAATAGTGCATATAAATAATTTATCGCGATCATGAGCCATTTTTAAATGTAAGTCATGCATTTCTTTTGTTTCAAATAACTTCTCACATTGATCACATGAAAAATTTTTATGAGAATCACTAGAATTACTTGACAATTTATTTGAATGTTGTTCCTCAGTTAAAGCATGATCAAGTGTGCTAGATATATCATCTCCTTCAGATAAGTGCTGTTTTGATTCAAAGTTTGGATCTTGAACAATATGTTCAAAATCTTGATTAATATCATTCCCAACATCATGAGTTGCCTTTTGATGCAATTCTAAATTTTCTTTACTTGTAAATAATTTTTTACATTCTGAACATTCGTACTTTATACTTTTGTGAAAACTCCTGATCATAAAAAGCAAATATCATTTTTATTCATATGTATATATGTATATGTACGTGTATATATATATATATAATTTTTTTTTTAGTTGAATTTTACTTACTTGTGTACAATATATCTGCTACGTTGAAGAAATCCTCGACCACACAATTGACATGTGAATTTATTTCTTCTACGGCGTAATTTTGGTCGACCTCGTCCTCTACCTCGATTTACAATCACCAATTCTCCAAGATCTTTTCCTTCTTCAGATTCTAAGTGACCAATTATTTCTGAAACAAATGAGAAATAGTTTTTACATGAAATGAATGGAAAGATTAAGTAAATCAAAACGAAAAAGAAGATGTGTTTGAAGAGGAAAATATTTTTAAAAATAAAATATTTTAATGTTTTAATGTTTGTCTATTTGTTCAAGATAAAATATTTTAAATTATTAAACATATTATAAATGAAAAATAGCTGTTACATAAATATTTTTAAATTATTACTCAATCACCATTTTTTACCTTCATGACTATCAGGAACAGACATATTTAATTGTTCTTCAGAATCTTCAAAATTATCAGGTTCATCATCATCTTCTTCATCAATTACTCCCTCTTCTTTGTATATTCTTTCTAGTTCTTTCCCCTGAACAGCTTCCATATATCTGAAACATTTCATGCTCTATTATAAAAATACTTTTAATAACAATTACTTTTAATTGTTTCCATTTGTAAAGAATACCTTTTAGGAACTTTACGCTTTCTACGACGTCTTCCATCTCCATCTAGTTCATCTGTTTCTTCTTCATGTTTGTCTTCTTCTTCTTGACTAGCTATCTCTACTGCTTCTCTTTTCCCCAATTCCTAAAATTTGAATCGATCAAAATATTTTATATTGAACGAACATGTTATCTTTACAAACCATAGACATATTTTCTGTATGAGACTTCGGTGGACGTCCTCGTTTTCGTTTTGGTTTGCTCAATCCCTCCATTTGTAAACTCATTTCGTGTTCAGCAGCATACATAGAACCATCTGGCATTACTGTTAAATAACATCATAACTAATAATCTTACAACAAACTCTTTTAATTGGAACATAATACAATCTTTAACATGGAGACAATACTTTTTATTATAATCTGTTGTTCAAACTGGTCCTCTTCGTTGTATCTTGAAATATTGTCTAGTTGTGATGCTTCTGATCTGACTTCTGTAGTTTCCTTTTCTGCACGTAAGCGTTCTCGTTCGGCCTTACGTTGCTGTTCTATCTGATGCTTCCACATCTCACGAATTTTTCTTTGACCATCCACCAATAATTCAAAAAACTGTATCGTAGCCTCCAGTTGAATGTTACAACCAGGGCAAATGGTGCGTGGTAGTTTGCCATCATCCCGTATCTTTAATCAAAATTGTATTACATTTTTTACAATGACATAACCTCAAATAAGTCAACAGCTATTTTGAATTGCCACTCATTACTTTCGCTTAGAAGAAATTATTCAAAAAATCTGAAATTCCGGACATCTTGAACTGAGACTCGTACGAGAAAGAAAAAAAATTAATATCGTAAAATAATATTACATCCGATCACAAAATGGAAATGGAATTAATAACAATGTATAAACTCAAATATTGTACGTTCAACACTAAATTTTTCAACATAAAACATTCATTGTCGTTCGAAGATTGTATCAAAAAACAAAGACGTTGTCGCTGCAATCGTATCAACATTTGTACCAAATTGCAATAAATGTTCACGTTTAACAGAGGAGGCAACAGTGTACAATAAAGAGGAAATATTGTACATTTGATTCTGGCAGTATTCGCATTTAAAGCAGGAAGTCAAGTTAGAGTCTAATGTTTCGTTGCTTCGTACCTTGAGCGGCAAGTACCGATTGACCATAGAACTCAAATCTGGATCGTCGCTCTCGCCCATGTACAATAATTCACCGTTGCCATTGTCTTCCGCACACAGTCGACAAATCGTCGAGTCGTAAAGTCGTACTTCTGCCATGATTCCAAGTGAACTGCCTGCTAACGACTAACATCGATTTTATCCTAACCAAACCGACCAGTGAGTACGCACCAACGGTACCGTGCACAATGTGTCTCAACTCTGCGCAACGTGATCCATAATTCGAGATTTCGCGTACAAACGTTCGCGCCACGAGTAGATTTTGGCTTTTCCCTGCATATTTTTTTGTCTCTTGCAAATTTATCCTTAAACCTTGGAAAAGTTCTTTTTTGTAAACAGATCGATGTATCGTTGTTGTATCGACTATGCAAAACGGATGATACGTCGATGTTCGTTGCGATCGATAGATCGATAATTTGTTAAATTACCAACGATAAGATATACAATTTTGTACGATAGTTGCATCAATAGTGAAAATTTACAAGTTTTGCTAAAATAACAGCTTCACACGTCCGATATACAGCGAGTTTTTATCGAAAATGAAAGGTGTCAAAATATAGTGTACGATTTAAGTTTTATGAACAATTCGACACGTGTTTTTCATTAACTTCTTCAAACACGTTACTTGAGATTTTATTTTACAGAATCAAGTTACTTGGAAAAAAAATAAATAAAAAACATACAGATAGAAGTAAAATTGCTTTGACTTGAATGAACGCAAGACGCGTTATTCGTAATTATCAAAAATGGAAAAAGAAGAAAGTAGAGTCGAGGAAGAGGAATTTTATACAGAGGCTGCAAAATATTGGGAACGTGTTCCGCCTACAGTAGATGGGATGCTCGGTGGTTTTGGATTCATTTCTCAAATTGACATAAAAGGTTCTACACAATTCTTGAAAAGTTTATTCGAAGTATGTACGATTAATGACGATTGATCTTTTGATATTTGACAATATTTTTCATTTGTATTTATTTTTTTTTTAAATGTTATAATAGTTAGAATTTGTTTCGTTTCAGTTAAAAGATCCACCATCGAGAATGTTTGCATTAGATTGCGGAGCAGGCATAGGAAGGATAACTAAGAATTTATTGTTGAATCATTTTAAACATGTTGATTTAGTGGAGCAAAATTTAAAGTTTCTAGAAGTAGCTAAAACATGTTTGAAAAGTTATTCGACAAGAATTTGCAACTATTATCCCATCGGTAATATCCCTGTTGGTTTATACAAAATACAAGACATTTAATTGATTAAATCATGTTTCAAGGACTACAAAATTTTTGCTTCGTTACCAAGAAGTATGACGTCATTTGGTGCCAATGGGTTTTGGGTCATTTAAAGCATGATGATTTGATAGAATTTCTAAAAAAATGTTCGTAAGTATTTCCACTTATCCTGATAAAAGGATGTAAAGTGCTTTCAGTTATTGAATGAAATTTTTACAGAACTGGCTTGAAATCTAATGGTGTAATAGTAATTAAGGAGAATGTAACAAGTTCTGAGAATTTGGAGATCGATACACAGGATTCATCAGTAACACGACCTCTTTCTGAATTTTATCGTATATTTCAGGAATCCAATTTGATTTGCATAAAGGAGCAGCAACAGCATAAATTTCCACGTGGGTTGTATCCAGTTTATATGTTTGCTTTAAGATTCATTGATGACAAACTTTAAAGATCGTTGTAAAAATTAATACGAAATTGAGTAAATTATTTCCGCGTATTTAATACTAGTAAATAAATAAATTTGACGTTTGTTTTAATAAATAAATTTGATGTTTGTTTTATACAAAAATAATTCTGACAAAGCGTACCTGGTTAAAAAAAGTAAATTTATTTTGGACGTATTTTTTCATACATAAATCGTTGATTCACATCTTGAGGAGAAGCATTTATAAGTCGTTTCTTCACAGCATGGAAATGCATCAAAGCAAAATTATAAAGTTCATTTTCCATTTTCCAAACAACAGATTTTTGTATTTTGTCTATTGTCTCTGGCCGTGGATTAATTTTTTGGGTAGTTTGACGTAAATGTGATTTGTTATCTGGAATTTTATAATTCGTTAGTAATTTAAGAAGTCAGCAATTATAATTTTATTTTCTCTTACTATGCAAGAAAGAATTATAGGCTCCTTTGAAAAAACGTGGAAGTACAATTTGTAAAATTTCTATAAATTCTGTTAATTCTTCCGTCACTCCTACAAGTAGATAATGTTTTTGTAAATTTCTTTTTGCTTCTTCTAGTGCCCAACTGTTTCCAATTTCCCTGTTAAATATTTATTTATTCATATTATTCAATTGTAATAACTGTAATAATTTAATGCTTTCACTACTATAACTATAAATGTTATAATCTTACCAACAAGCAGGATCGTGACCACATAAAAATGGTATTTGTAACCACATATTATCAGGGTCACAGTCTGGTTGACCAGCATCAATACATTCATCGAAAGTCTATAGAAATATACACACTTAAGTATAATTAACATAACAAATATAAAATATAATACAAACATGAATACAAACTTTAGTGTCTCCATGCTTCTTTCTGATTAAATGTGGCCTAAAATTGTCTCCGTATCTCAAAAAGTAGTAATAGGAAACGAATCTATCTAAAGGTTTACGTAAGATATTTATGTACAAAGGCGTTTGTCTTACACCAAATCTAAAGCATAGACATAATTATAAAAAAATAAAGTGGATGCTTTTTACAATAAATGTTTGCATGTACTTACTTCTCAAAATTCAAAAATGCAACATGACCGTGATAAAATGCTGGCTTTTTTGCATTCCAAACAGTTATATTATTCGCAAATTGAATCTATAGTTTTGTTTAACGTACATTAGAAACAAATTAACAAATAATAACAAATTAAAAGCGATATAATATTACCTGATTGGGGAGTGTAAGAGTGTGCATGTTATTAGAGACATTAATATGTAAAACGTGGTATTTATTGTGTTTGCACAAATCGTAGACCAAACCTACAAAGCTGGTTGATGCTGTTTTCGGTACTCTGTTGTAGATAATGATAAGATCATCGAAAGCTGATTTGTAAGAATGCTCGCTAACTTCATTCCCAGTTTGAACATTGTTTTGTTCTTGCGTGATGGCATTGTCTGGAAGTACGATAGGATACCTATGTTATTCCATCACCTTTAACAGAACGAAATATTAAAAGGATGAAACGTTTGCTGTTACAAATTAATAAGATTAATTGACTATTGTAACGCCTACGCAATACTTTGTAGTGGTCCTCCAGGAAATTTAGTTTCATCTTTAAATAAATGATAGTGACTGTGAATATCACCACCAAAATCCATTGCAACAAAAAGCTTCTATGTATCATTATTTTTTTTTTATTAAGTTTTTAATTACTCTCTTTCATACGAATAAAAAAAAGAAAAACACACTTCATAAGTTTTATACTAGTACCACTTTCAACTTGTAAATATTGATAAAATCGCACGAATATGACTAGTTTCACAATATTTCATCGAACAATATTTATTCTATAAAACCACCGTTCATTTTTATTAATTGACAACGTAAAAAAAGATAATTATACATCATGGGAACAATATTGTTGTTGTTAACTTTAATTATCAAATATCTCATTAAAAATAAGCGTATATGACTGATATTTCATCTTCATGAGGCTGATTGCCCACATCAATGAAGTTCACTTCTACTACTCAAGTCGATAATCGAAATCATCGATTAATCGCATATCAAATTTCAATTACATCAGAACGAATACTGTAACAACAGAACAGCTATTTTTCAAAACGTAATGACGAATATATGAAATAACATTATCTGGTTATATTTTAAATAAAATGTAGAAATAAATTATATAAAATAATATATTGACAATAAAAAATAAAATATGTTAATTCTTTCGAATGATACCAAATGTTTATTTGAAACGTTATATTTTTAATGCAATTTTGTCAACACATAAAAAGTTATATATTCGAGAATAATGATGACATAAAAATGATAAATAATAATAAAATGATAAATAATAATTAAAAATGATAAATTACATTTAATGTTGCAATTATTTGTTTTATGCACACCCTATATATAGCACATCCATGATTGGATTATGTATAATTCTAACATAGATTTCAAATTCTGAAATTTATATATTTTCATTTGCTTTGAAATATCAGATATATTGATAAAATTATAATATCTATATGCGTCTTTATATTTTTGTATTCTATATATCATTTGTCTTCAATCAGTTTAAATTACGTCAGGAACGATTTTCGTACTTCACTAATAAGGAAGATACTCAGGTGGCTTGGTTTTAGTAAAACATCCTGTATAAAATTTTAAAATATTTTTTTGCTAAGATATCTTTTTTCCAAAATATTCAAATATTCTAATACTAATGTAAAATTCCATTTCCAAATACAAAAAATATGCAAAACATTAGAGATATTCAAAAATAAAATATTAATTTATATAAATACAAAATTCAAATTCCAATACAAAAATATCCAAAATGTTCCAAAATATTCTTACAAAATATTATGATAAGTTTATCACATAAAAAACAATGAAAATTAATCAACAGAGTTTGTTGTACACAATGTATTTCACTTTTTACATCTTTTATAATATCTTCAATAGAATTAAATAACATTAAATAAATTTATTCCAATGAATTTAACATCAGGAGCTGTTTCAGTACTTTTGTTTGACTAGTTTCCCTTATTTCACCTGCTAGAAACATTTCATCTACAACTGTATACACCTGTAATAAGATTTCCATCAGAGAAATAAAATTATATTCAAATGTATGCACATATAAATTGTTTATACTAAATGCAGCCTAAGTCACAAAAATGACAATTCGTTGACACTATGTAAAATTATTTATTTTAAGAAAAAGTATAAATATCTAAGATAACAAATATAAGCAGATTTTCTTAAAAGTTAATATTAATTTTTTTAAGCACATTGAAATGTAAAAACAGAGTGATTTAAGCCACTTTCAAAATGAACGACTCATATGTATTTAGACATATTAAAAATTACCTTATAAAAATTAAATACAAGGTCCAACTCACACACATTGTGGAAATATTCGTTTAGTACTTCAACAAAATTATGTATTGCTTCTAGGTAACAGAGATTATTATCGTTGACATCGACACAAATACAAAAGTATAAGCCAGCATATCTTCTATATACAATCTTGAAATTACGAAACTAAAACACAAAAAATATATTGTAATAATATTACAATTAATTAAATTACATATTTATTTATACAAGATATTGTAATATTATTTACAAAATATATTAAATACATTAAATTTTATTTTCTTCTAAAGTTTATATTTTATTATGTATTAAAATATTTAATATTAATATTATAATTATTTATAAATAAATATTTACAAAAATGTAATATAAAATTTACCTCGACAAAATTAGTATGTTTAGCATCTCGTACAGTTACTACTGCGTGTACCTCCTCTATTAGCTTTTGTTTCTCGTCATCATCAAAATTCATGTACCATTTTGCTAATCTCGTTTTTCCAGCTCTATTTTGAATCAGGATGAAACGAATCTGTACATTATTTTACAATTTTTTTTTAGAATTCGTTCTGAATAATTTTGTAAAAGTAACAATAATATTCTTTACTAATACGGCAGTAAAGATAAATACTTAATATATTCAGTAATTACTTGCCATGATTAATCTGTCTTTATATGTTAATCAATGCTACAATTGCTGGACTTGACAACCAACGATCAACAAGAATACGTGAGATCGAGCGACATTTGTTACCGCCCCTGTCATCAAACCAAGAATTAAATCGTATGAACATCTAATGATTTAACAAGATAATTCAGATATTTCAATGACTACTTCAATCTATCTCTAACAAGATTTCAATTAAAATAATATGTAATTGAACTTTTTCAGAAAATGCATGTTCTGTAATAACTCTTTCTACTTGGAATATTGAATCCAAAAACAAAATGGCCAATGGTGGTAAATTTGAATTTGAAAAGAACAAGAATGTAAAAGGAAACGTAGAATTAGATTATGAAAGCAACGAACGAAAAGAAGATTTCGAGATGAATAAAGAGGAAAGATCAAATGAAGGATATACATTTATGGGTAGAAAACCTGAACATGGAAGTATACCTGAAAATATTTTAGAATTTTTGTATCCTTAATAAAAAACTAATTATAATAATATTTTTTTTGCTATATTTTTTTTCTTACATGTCATTTTTCTCAATATCGATTAGTTATTCTTATGGATATAATTGTCGAAAGTATTTTAACCTTTGTGTAGTTGATACAAATACTATCGCTTTTGCTGCTGGCAATTTAATTCAGTTTTTCAATGTAGAAGAAAATAGAATGTGGTTTAAAATAGGTTCTGCGGGTACCGGTATTGGGCACATATCAGTAAATATATATATATATTTTTTTTTTTAATTTATATACTAGGAAAAGTATAAATTTAAAAAAATTTTTATAATATTGTAACATTATGTTTTATTTTTTAGAAAAATTCTGCCTTCAAACATATTGCTGTTGGAGCAAATGGAAAGAATCCTGTAATAAATATTTTTAATTGGCCAAATATGGAGCCTATAACTGTTTTAAAAGGAGGAACAATTAAACGTTATTTTCATTTATCATATAGGTATGCATAAATCTATGTTTAAGTAGAAAAGATATAAAATTATATTTTTGTAAATTATAGTCCAGATGGATTATTATTGGTATCACAAGGTGGCGAACCTGATTATTATATTTCTGTTTGGAATTGGAAAGAATCAAATATTATTTTGCAATGTAAATCCTATGTTCAAGATGTATACAATGTTACTTTTTCAAAATATATTCCTGGTCAATTAACATCTAGTGGGATAGGACATATTAAATTTTGGAAAATGTCCAAAACCTTTACTGGATTAAAGCTTAAAGGTGAAATTGGTAAATTTGGAAATACTGAAATCTCTGATATTATAGCAATTCATCCTATGCCAAACGAGACTGTAAGAAAACAAAAATTTATTGTATAATAAATTTATAGAGTTTCAAGTTAGTACATACTTTAAAACGTTAAAAAAAATTTTGTAGGTAGTCTCAGGTTGTGAGTGGGGTAATATACTTTTATGGGATGAAAATTTAATTAAATTGGAAGCATGTAGAAAAAATAGAGAAACAGCACATGTTGGTTATATTACACAATTTGAATATATTAACGGAGAACTTATGTCAATCGGTAATAGAACAAAAATTTATGTAATTAAAAAAGAAAAAAAAGAAAAAGTATAATAAATTATATTATGATTTATGATAGCATAGGATCTGATGGATGGATACGATTTTGGTTTTATGAAACTATAGATCATGCCGATCTTTCCGATGATGAACAATTTCTTGAAATCCAACCAATTTATGAATTTCAAATTGCGGAAGGAAATGAGAATGCAATGCTTATGAGTATACAGAAACAGGAACCAAATTCTGAAAAAACAATGTGGTATGCTCAAGTAAGTACTTTGTACTCAGAAAACAATTTCAATATTGAGCAAAGTATTTAATAGGATGGAAATGGGGGATTGTGGCTACTTGATCTTTGCACTAGTAAAAAAGAACATGTGCAACAAAAAGTTTTTACGTGTCATGCTGGTCCTATTGTTGATATGGATATAGCAGATTGGGGACCCTTTGTAGCAACACTTGATAAAAATGGCAATTTACATATTTATAATTTCATAGAAAAAAAATTAAGTCTAATTCACAAATTTTATGACACTAGCAGACAAGTGATTTGGCTGCCATGTAAGGTAAATTATTTCTTTCTAAACGATTTATACAAATATTATTTTATAGAAATGTTTAGATTGAAAAAACGGGTTCAACACTTGTATGCGCTTTTGAAAATGGTATTGTTAGAATGATTACAGTAACAATACAAATATCAAATACTGCATATAATATAAAAAAAGATAGTACAAAACTAATTCAAGTTTTGAAACCACATTCAATGCCAATTACTGTAATGTCTTTAAATACAGCTTGCAGGTATGTATTATACAAACAAAATAATTATATATAAATATAATTGATTTTATTATAATTTTATTTTTAGTTTGCTAGTAACAGGTAGCAATGATGCTACTATTTTTGTATTTAATATTGATACTACCAATAATTATCCTACAATTATACCTATTGGCTATGTAAAACTTCCATCATCTATTACTTGCATGGCATGGAATCCTCAAGAAGTAAGTACAATTATTAAATATGGAAAACACAGTAAAGATAATAATTTAATACACAACAATTCTATATAAATAGGAAGCAACTTTATTAATTGGATGTTTAAAAGGAGATTGCGTGGAAACAAAATTGCCTACAACACCCCAGTCATACACAACAACTTCTTATGAACTAGTTAAATGTAGATCAGCATCATTTAAGTTTGAATCAGTAAAGTCTGCAATAAAAAGAGAAGCTATAAAAAAGAAATACGAAGAAGAAAAAGAAGAAAGACTCAAAGAAAGAAGAAAAGAAATGGAGAAATTAATTGCCGAGAATCCTCATATTGTAATTGATGAAGAAACTTTCCTTAGTAATTATTTATTTCGTATTATGTATTAGTTATATAATTTAATTTAAATTGTACGTTAATTATTTTCGTGTATTTATTCTTTTAGAAGAACTTAATGAAAAAGAAGTGATTCTCCCAGAAATTTATATTCCAGAAATTCCAAATAAAGTTTTAATAGCACAATACGGTATTAATGGAAACATATGGTTATTCATGGCTGGTTTTGATGCAGGATATGTTTATGAATACCCTCGCCCATTATCTGAAAAACTGAAACATAATAAACCCATTAGGAGTAGAATAATCGAACATGCAAAAGATATAGAAATACATAATTTTTTTATTCAGTATGAATATTTTAAATAATATTTTAACGTTTTGCAAGAGTAAAATATGTAAAACTAAAAATTTAATTTTTTTTTTTAGAGAAAATAAAAAATATTTATATTTGGGAACACAATATGGACAGCTTTATGTCATTAAATTAAAAGAAAGAGATCCATTAGATTTTTCAGATTGTTGGATTTTACAAACACATGATTATTATACTGGACATATCTCTAATATTTTATTAAGTTATAATAACAAAATATTGTTAACATGTGGTCATGATGGAAATATATTTGCTTTCAAAATCAATGATGATATACTGTATGAAGAACACAAAGTACCAAAGTTAGAAGATTCTTTGTTTATAGTAAGTTAATCTTTCTCTAAATATTTTTCAATTTAAACTATAATATTTATAGTTATTATATTTACAATTAGCCTAAAAGTGTTGAAGATATTGAAGATACTGATTATCCAAATTTAGAAGAGGTAATTACTAAAATAGAACAAGATAGAATTTTTGCAGTTGCAGAGGAGAAAAAAAAACAAACTCTTGAAATTATACGTGATTTAACAGAAGAATTTGTTAAAATTACTACAAGGTAAAAACAACGAATAAAAAATTCCTTATTTTAATTTGTATTATTATTTTTACTATCATGATCACGTTATCATTATTGTTATTTTAATATTTTAGTTTTTGTAATGTGATAATTGATTTTACATATATATAATTAATTTGCAGTTTATTGAGTTTTAGGTTTAATATGTTTTTTTGAGGTCATTTATTACTATTTTTATTATTGTTAAAATCTATTGTTAATTTTGTTTGTTAATTAAGGAATAAATATCTCCTGTATTCGCAACAAATATCACAGTTTGAACTAGATCCGAGAATAGTAGAAGATTTAAAACAGCAACTGAATGTACATACAACTTTAACACAACGAAAGTTGGAATTTGAAGTAGAAAAAAATAAATTAGAATTACAAAAGCTTATGAATCATTTTGTTACACCCATTACTTGTGTACCTTTTGCAGTTCATGGTATATTGTAAGTATTGTCTTTTTAATTGTGTTTATTATATTACACTTATTAAGATTACTTATTAAAATTTGGAAATAGAAATGAGAATAGAGCAGTGTATTCTTTAAGAGAATTACAATTAGATACTGAGAGAATTTTAAAATCTATGGAATTGATGAAGCAGCAAGATAAGGAACAAGATAAGCCGCTGAAAATAGGCAGGTATTTTTATTTTTTTACTATATAACTTTATATTATATATTTTAACTTTAAATTATTTTACAAGAAATGGAATTGCAGCAAAAAGTGGATAATAATGTATTATGGGAAAAACCAACTTTGTATGTTTATTATTTATAATATTTGTATAAATTATTTGTAATTTTTAGTAATGTAATTTTTAATTACAATTTAATTACAATTTAGTTACATTAAAAAATTTCGTAATTTTATTTTTAAATTATAGAATAATACAGGAACAAATTGAAGAAGAAAAACATGAACCAGAAGTGCTAGAAATACAATATTTCGAAGCATTTTTGGATACAGATTTCACTGATTTATTATCTGGATTAAAGATACAAATCAATCAAATGTTGTCAAAGTATAAGGAAAAAAAGGCAAGAATGATTGAACGGCAAAAAAAAGTAAGTTGCAATAAAAAAAATTATAATAAAAATATGTATCATTTAAAAATATATTATATATATATAGTGGCAGAAACTACATGAAAAAAAACCAAATTTGGTTAAAAATCGTTTTGAAGATGCAATTTTTCTTGAAAATGCAAAACTAACTATTGGTGAATATAATTTGAAAATGAATTTGAAAATGAATGCAGACTTTAGCTTAACAAGAAGAAAGGAAACTGCAGCTATAAAATATAAACAACTTATAGATTGTAGAAAGAAGGTACAATTCATGAAATTCAATATTGTAATAATTTTTAACATAATTACTTTTTATAGCTTCATCACTTGCGAGAAAATTTTAATATAAAATTAAAAATAATTGCATTGAAGAAACAAAAACTGCAGAAAGAAGTTATTAAGTTGGTAGAAGTTCTTAAAAGAATTCACACAGAAATTCCATTAAAAAATATAAAATCTGTACCGCATCCACCAAAATTGAATTTTGATATTGAATTTCCTGAACATAATCTTGAGGTACATTTATAGTTAATAATTACTTGTAATTATATTTATGAAAGATTGTTTCTCATAATAATGCCGTTGTAGCTTGAGAGATATATATCTATATCAGAAAAGATGCAACAAGTAAAACGTCAGAGACAATCATTAATTGTAGATCAATTTATAGATCATTCTGATTTAGAATATGATGTATTGTATTGTGATGATAAAACAATTCTTCATAGAGAACAAGAAAGTCTTTATACTCTTGTTCCTACTTCAAAAATTAAAATAAGGGGTCATTTATCTGTAAGTGACATAATTAGGAATCTTAATGTAAGTGACTCCGTTCAAACTACTTGGGAACGTGAAATGAAACGTTCTCGAATGTGGCGAAAGATATACGAACAAGATTGTATTTTACGATATATCGATACTGAATACAAAAAATTGGAAACTGAATTAGATGAATTAGAAGAACATAGATTAAACGTAATATATCAAAGTACGTATATAAATTTGAATTTGCTAACTTTATATGAAGAATTTATCATTCTGCAAGAATCCGAAACAATGGAACATGCACTTGAAGAGAAAGTTACTGACAAATCAAATGAATGTATTTCAGTGAAGTCAAAGGTTATTATCCTTATAACAAAAATAATAATCGTTTATATATTCAACAATTATTTATTAAAGATATATTAATATATTTATAATAGATATATTAATATATTATAATATTTATAATTTTTTAATAGATGCAAGCTACAAATATTAATATTGTTACACGAGAAGAACAAATTAAAAAATTACATATAAAAATTAAAGATATTACTGTTGAATTTACAAAAGCTATCAGTGATAGTAAATTTCAAATTTTTCTTCAAAAAATATTTAAAAGAAAATATTTAGCAATAAAAAAACAAAATGGTATCAAATTTTATTATTTTTCAGCTTTCTAATTTTTAAACAAATTTTTTAGTAAAATTGATTTCAATTATAATTTTTAGGATCTTTAGATACAGTTACACAATCAACAGAAACAACTTCTGAAGAAACAGATGAAACAACAGATACTGAAGCTGAGTACATTCCATTTGATGAAAATATATGTCCACCTGGCTGTGATACACAATTATATGAAATGGCATTTTCTATGAGAGAGAAACGATATGCATATGAATTTCAAATCAGAGAAGAACAAAAAGAAATAGAATTATTGCAGAAAGAATTAGATACCGATACCAAGTACTTAAGAATTATTGAAAGTACTTTAAAGAATAACGAGGAAGAGTTACAAAGTTTTATGGTATTTCCAAACATCATTATATTAAAATAATTTACAAAACTAAAATATTTTATTTTTTACAGTTGGATAAACAAAAAAAATTAAATGAAGTTAATGTAACAGTCATATTGAAACTTCATCAATTACAGCACATATTAGATTTTGGAAACACAGAGAACATTCAAAATTGTATAGTTTTTAACAAAAAAGAGTTAACAAATTTATATGCCAGAGTCGGAGAATTACAAGATGAAACACACAACTTAGAAGAAACACGCAAGTATGATACAAAAAATAAAATAATTTCTACAAAAGAAATGTATTCATGATTCTTTACAGAAAAAATGAGATACATCTGAAACGAATAAAAATGGATTTGAAATATATGGAAACTCAAAATAAAAGACTGAAGGAACACATCAAAGAAAAGATGATACAAAAATTTGGTCATAAAGTATCTTTGATTAATCTTTATGAGATTATTTTACAAAGATTAGTTTATGATACTAAAACTGATGTACACAAAATTATGAAAGATTTTACCAAAGACATAGAAAGTAACCTACAAAAATTTTTGATTTTATAAAATTATCTTGATAAGAACTTAATAAACAATTTTATGTAAATTTTTCAGATGCAAAGCGAAATTGTAATGAAAAATTGATTATTTTAGAAAATTTAATTCGAAATAATACTAAAAAATTAAGTTTTCTGACAATATTAGAGAAAGAAAAGTTCAAACTTAGAAAAATTTTGGAGCAAGCCTTAATTTCAGAAGTAAAAAAAAATTTTATTAAATCTATAGATATACAGAATATCCTAAGGCAGCCAAATTGCAAGGGCTCAATCTGCATATAAAAAGAAAAAAATATTATACAAAATTCGACATGAAATGCTTACAGCATTAGGAACAAATATTGTATATATGAAATATGTAAGTAGTAATACAGACGGGGTCATTAAGTATATGTCTTTTTTTCACGTGCTAATAATTTTGTATTATTAATACAATAATACAATAAAAAGTAATTTTTAATTCCATCAAGCTTGATCGGTGAATAATAGAATTAATAACGTTGTAAAATTGTTGAGAATTTTACGTTATTAATAAAATTACATTCTTAATTTTCTAGTTTTCCATGTGAAGTTACTTCTGTTGAATAAATCTCTTGCTTCAAACTATTCCATAAATAAAAATCAAATGGCAAAAAAAAATACGTAGCTATCTGTTATATATATATAATATTTGTTTATAACTCTGTAACAAGACAGTTTATAACTCTGTAAATTTTATACAACATAGTTTTCTTTTTCTCATGTGTAGATCAAGTCTCAGTAGTTTGGCTGTTTAAGTTTTGGACACTCTGTATATAAGTCAACATGCTGTTTAATTAAAATTTTTAATTTACATAATTGATTCCCCCTTGTAGGAGAGTATGTTACAAGTAGAACATGAGCATAAAGCTGACATAGTCGCGCTTGAAAATATCCTTTATAATCAAATACAGCAGAAACATATGTTGCAATATGATATAGAAAGCCTTAAAACTGGATCAAAAAAATTACCTGAGATTTGTTTAAATCAAAATGTATCATAAAAATGCATAAAGATATAATCTTTAGTATTCTTAAAAATAAAGTTTCTGAATTGATAAATTTTTAACAAAATTCGTTTCTATCATCTTACGATAAAATTATACTTTATTATATTTATATTTATTAAGTTATATAACATTTGTATAAATTATATTAATATTATGGTCATATATAATATATAAATTATATTATGGTCATCAGCATATTTGACTATACAATAATTGTATAAATACCGATTTTAGATTAAAATTAAAGAACAGACTTGTATGGTCATAATCGAAATAACCATAGAGTCAAGAACGGAACAATTCTCGAATTTAATATGTATGTATTTTTATATATGATATAAATTATGATAATATATATGATATATATTTTTAAATTAATTTTTTCTAAAACTTTTAAATTAACGTAAACAATCAAATATATATTAAATTTTATAGTAAATTTTATAGTAAATTTCTATCAACTACTGTTTCAAGTCATAACATTTTTTTATTAATTGAAGTTTCACCACATTCAATTGAATAAAATAAATTTAAAGAAATAATAGAATTAGCAATCTATTAGTTATTTTAATTCCTGCATTGACTAACTTTAATGATTCCTGATTCAATGATGCTACTATCTAAATCGGTATGGTAGGACGTGACATGAAAATGATAAGAAACACAAAAATGTATTGTGTCACGTCTTTCTATACCTCCTTCTATACCTCCATGGTATAAGCTCCTACTTGAGTGGTCGTCATAATATATTTTATAATTTATTTTATTATAAACTTTAATTTTTATTTCATTCATATACCTATAAATAATTCCATTGCAAAAATGAAAAAGCATAATGAAAATTTTTTATCTATTATTATGTTTTCGATTATTCTAATTTCTTATTAATGGCATAAGAAAAATTCAAACTTATCTTAACATTCATAAATCTGTAATAAATTTTAAACTAAATACTTGTAAACAAACAAGAATAAGTTAATGGATAAAAAAATAAAAATAGAAATAAAAATAAATATAATAATAATTTAAATTAACATTTGCATAAAGAGTGCATATATTATGCATGTTTCAATAAATATAGAAATTTAAGGTGTCATTTGTTAAAGAACATAACCTATAAATATTATTAACAATTTAAAGTTCTTTTTTAAAAAATGGGTATTATTAGCATTATAGAAGTGTATTGCACGTTTATAAATCTTCAACAATTATTTGTTTGTCTATAAATTTGCTTGCTTGTATTTCAAAATTTTTTATTTTTTTAAAGTACTTTTTAAATATTTATTAGTGTTGCATTCTTCAAAAAACTAAAAAAAAAAAAAGAAAAAAGAAAATGGATCAAATGCTGCCTAGTCCTGGATTTAGTATACCAAGTATAGGTACTCCTTTACACCAACCAGAGGAGGATCAACAAATTTTGCCTAATGCACTACAACAGCAGCAACAACAACAATCACAGCAACAACAGTCGCAACAATATCAATTGCAACAATTACATACTATGAGTCCAAATATGCAAAGTGGAATGCTTATGATTGGAACGCCACAAAAAACTATGCATGCCTATGCAACACCACCTTCTTTTGCAACTCCACAAAGTCTTATGCAACCACAAACACCAGTATGATTAAATATGATCATTTCAAATTTATTAAACACTATTAAACATGTAATATTATTTGTAAAAAAAATATGTTATTTATAGCAAAATATGATGTCTCCACTAGTACAAAATACTAATCATATAGCTCCTCCATCCATAGGACCATCTACTCCTGGTCCTATGACACCTATGACACCAGCTTCTGCAGATCCAGGAATATTACCGCAACTTCAGTAAGTGAAAAAATTAATTTATAATGAAAAATATATATATTCTATTCATGTTACAGGAATATTGTTTCTACAGTTAACTTAAACTGTAAGTTAGATTTAAAGAAAATAGCTCTTCATGCCAGGAATGCGGAATATAATCCAAAAAGATTTGCTGCAGTTATCATGAGGATAAGGGAACCTAGAACTACTGCTTTAATATTCAGTAGTGGAAAAATGGTTTGCACCGGAGCAAAAAGCGAAGAAGATTCTCGATTGGCTGCAAGAAAGTATGCCAGGATTATTCAAAAACTTGGCTTTCCCGTTAGTAAACATTTTCTAATATGTATATATATTACGTTTATTTTTATTTGAATATTATCAATTTAATTTATTTTGAATAAAGGCAAAATTTCTCGACTTCAAAATACAAAATATGGTAGGCAGCTGTGATGTGAAATTTCCAATTAGATTGGAAGGATTAGTACTTACACATGGGCAGTTCTCTTCATATGAACCAGAACTCTTTCCTGGATTGATATATCGTATGGTTAAACCTAGAATAGTTTTACTCATATTTGTTTCGGGAAAAGTGGTTCTAACAGGTTAGTAATTATTGTACATTTATAAATTTTGTATATTTGGTGATTAATTTTATAAATTATCATTTGAATAGGAGCAAAAGTTAGGCAGGAGATCTACGAAGCATTTGACAATATCTATCCCATTTTAAAGAGTTTTAAAAAGCAATGAATTTATTTTTTTTTTTTTAAATAGTTAAGGTATTGATAAAGGAGGAATTGATAAAGGAGGAATTGATAAAGGAGGAATTGATAAAGAGGTAAGATTTTAAAAACTAAGGTTTTTATCTTAAAAAACTAGTGAAATAAACCTTTTGTATTTCTACGATGTTAAAAAATTTTCTTAAAAATTAAATATAGAATGAAATATACAGTTAAAGTAAATGAATCGAAAAATATTTTTGTTAAAATAATTATTAGAAGAGTTATATATTTAATTTAATCAAAACTGTATTAAATAACATTTAAAGGCAGGATCTTAAAAATCTCATGAAATAATCTGAAAAATTACCGACCAATTAGAAAATAATATATCTTCTCGATAATATAGTGCCTTAATCGAGAGGTAGTTATTAATTTGGAAATTGATAATTTATATGATGAAATTTTGTAATTTATATGATGTATATTGATTTACAACAAATTTTATTTTAATTAATGCATTAAATTTAATTTGTATTCTTAAATAGAAATAGTTAATATTCTATTATGTACAAATAATATTGAAGAGAATTTCTATGTTTGTAAGATTATCCACATCCTTAAAACTATTTGTATCTCTGCAAAAATTAGATGACGTTTTGATACATTGTAATATTGATTAGGTATTTAAGTGCAAGATAAGAATTATATAAATATTCAAATTATATAATTTTTTCATTATAGAAATATATATTTGAACAAAAAATCGTTTCTTAATTAAATATTTTATTACTTTTTTTCATTATATAGTTTCATGATAGTTTTTACTAAACATTGCTGAAGTACAGGACAAATATCTTTGTTAGCTGCTGTCAACATTTCTGTTGCTTGTTTAATAGTATTTGTGTCGATACTACCAATTAAAAATACTTCAGATATTTGATTATGTTGCGGAAGACTAGCCAGTGTAATTATCCCATAATTAAAATCATCTTCGTTATCTGGTTGTGTATTACATATTGCTTCTTCTGTATCCGTAGGATCCATTAAGTAATGATTACCGTATATGCCCTATATTTTTGTTGAAATTAATAAAATGGTTAAATGCTAACAAAATAATGAAACAAGATATTTATAGTTTTTTTTACGACATCACTTACTACAGTTGAAGCTGTAACTAAACCAAACATAGGGACACCCGCATTAGCCAAAGCAGTACTAGCAGCCATAATTGCAGCAGCTAATGAAGAACCAGCATTATCTAAGACCATTACATATACATCCACTTGAAAATTGGGAAATTCATGCTGAAACAATATATATATATATTTATACATACAATATATATATATATATATATATTTATAATCTTATATTTATTTTATTATTAATCTTATATTTATAATCTTATACATAGAACATATTATTTACTTTTAATATCAGAAATGAGTGCAATACATGATATAATCATTATAAATACTAAACTTAAATAATAAACACGATATATTTCATGATCTTATTTAAAATAGATATTTAAACACACACACACACACACACACACACACA